GCACCCTAGGTGCATGATATAATATTACATACCCTTAATTGTATTTCTTTCCTGTTTTTCGATGTTTGATATTTATATGCATTGCAGAACATTGGAAAAAATGGGCGGCCTCGAATCGGAAAGAGACTACCCCTACGACGCCGAAGACGAGAAGTGCCACTTCGACAAGTCCAAAGTGCGAGTACGATTGTCGGGCGCGGTCAACATCAGCCAGGACGAGACCGAGATGGCTAAGTGGCTGGTGCAGAACGGGCCGATCTCCATCGCCATCAACGCCAACGCGATGCAATTCTATGTGGGCGGAGTGTCCCATCCGTGGAAGGCTCTGTGCAACCCCAAATCGTTGGACCACGGGGTGCTCATTGTGGGATACGGAGTGCACAGTGAGTATCAGCACAGTAATTGACCACCTCGGTGCAAGAACCGGGTGTCTCCATTTTATGCCGAAGTTGGGTTATTGTATTTTACATATAGAATTTTTTCTTGCGCAACTTCTGGTGCAAGTATCAAGCGAATCCAACAATTTCCTATTAGGTTAACACGGGAAAGGATTTACTTGATGAGCCGTTGAGGTGCTAGAGTCGGCAACTCCAGGAGTTACCCGATTTTAGCATTGAAATGTAAGCCATGACGGTGCTAAAATCGGGTAAGTCTTGGAGTTGCCCGACCGTACGCGTGTAGTGGGAGATGTCGGAGTGAGGTTATTAGCGGCAAGCCTTCCCGCGTCTTCCATCGTGTGTGGCGTTATTAGTTTGATCATTTGTTTCATGCAATACAATATAATGTCGTCGGAAAGTGAAAGTGAGCCCTTTCAAGATTCCGGGAGTGAATATGTTCCAAAAACATAACTGTTGATGAAGTGGAGCCAAATTCTGGTAATGATTTCACGAAGATCAAGATGCAGGAAACGTCAGCGATTCTTCCTATTTTGAAAATACTATATGTTTACAATATTTTTCTTTTTATATTTCATTTTCGATAAAAGCATGCCAATTTTCAAGTTTTCAATCAAATTGCAAGTTGGAAACCTACTAATGTGTGGCCTTCGTAAATCACCCTGTACATAAAAAACGGCATTTGTGGCCGATCAGCGCTTGTGTACTATTGCGCTTCAGTTGAGAATGCAAATTAACAATATCTGATGTTTCTTTATATTTTCCAGCTTATCCCCGCTTCAACAAAACCCTACCATATTGGATCGTGAAGAACTCTTGGGGCGAATCGTGGGGAGAACAAGGTTACTACAGGGTGTACCGAGGAGACGGTACCTGTGGGTTAAACCAGACCCCCTCTAGTGCCATCGTTGCCTAACGTTCACAGAAATCCTAGGGTACTGTGAGTAACAGACATGTGACAACATTGTGATCAAATAAAATAAGTACAGATCTGAGGATACTTTATAATTTTTAATGAGCTTATGAATATTATTTTATATGTTTTATCGCTGCATCATTCAATAGAAACTCGAGATATCCTTTAAATATTTTATTGTCTCTCTAAAGATGTAATGACATGTTTATACAGCAATACTTTTGTAAAGCTAATAAAATTAAGTACTAGGTGCATTCTTCATTGTTCGCTATTTACGAAAATTGAATCGACTCCAACCTCTAAGTGAAAGACAGTATATCATCACAAGTCTTTATTTGCCCTATGGCACAACTCCCTAAATGAACTAAGCCTACACCATATTTTTGCGATGAATTATAAAAAAAAGAGGCGAATTAGTGAACATGCTTCAAGAGAGATACCGGAACTGCCTGTCTCTCCTTCTTTTGTGTTTCTTAGTGTGGATTTATGCAGCATCAATTTACAATTATCAAGTAACAATTATCAATTAACAATTATAAGGAGTAGCTAAAATGTTACCATTAATGCAAACCATATCAACAATTAAAAATTGAAAATACGCAGGCGCTCAAGTCCATTCCAAGCCATTCAAGATAACCACAGAAATTGTTTCATAATTTATTAGACAAATTTTATCACAAGTGGGTCCAAGACACAGAAATAATAGGACTAATGAAAAGTAAAAAGAAACACAAAACCGGGAAATGTTTTGAGGTCATTCTCCTTCATAGGATGGAACCATTGTCTGCTAAATATGGAGAAAAAATCTAGTGAGCTGGACTTACTGGTCTTCCCTATAGCTCAGTTGAGTGTATGACCACTAGAGGATGTTACCGTATCGGACGAAATGATCTTCACTTTTTTCTAGAAAATTTTCGAAATTTGTGGTTATGTAAGTTGTCAGTGTCAAGAGCTGTCGTGCCATCGTGACTTGTTTCGTATTTTTTTCCTAAAATATTCTTTTTCAATTCTCATTGTTCTAATATTCCTTTCGTTTATAGATATAGTTTTGTGTAGTGCTCCCAGTATTATAGTAGTTAATTCTGATTATCAATGTGTAACAAACTCTGTCTCCTCTTATTGTGCCTACCAGAAAGTGTGAAACCGTCTCCATTCATGGATTTCCAAGTGATATTCCTTTGTAACATAAGTGAATACATTCTATATTGAGTGTTACAGGATCATTACAAGTAAGAAAATCAGAGCCCTGATCAAAAGCTAATAATCGATATTACTATTACTACTACTACCGCCACCGCTGAGAGAGGCTCAACTCATTTACGATTTTCAAGGTTATATAGGTTTGACAGGGAAACAATTGAAATAAGTGTTTCCTCGAGTTGACCGTATAGCGGTACTACTGTATTGGCCAAAGAACCCTGTAGGTGATTTTCCTTGTTTGAGCAGACCAGAAACTCCAGTTCAACAGTTTTTTTCTCCATATTCAGCAGAGAATGGATGGAACAATCATCAGTCACCTACAAGGTCATCTGCGTACTAGTTGCGCACAATAAGAAAGCCTGGTTCAATTAATGTAAAAAGTCCGAAAAAGCACCACGTGAGATGGTTCACGTGGAGTGGTTCTTTTTTGTATATCTCTATTTGATAATTTCTCAGTAGGTATACGATTAAGGGCCACTTTATAGAAAAACTTTAAGACTTAAGATTCATCACCTAACATTTAAGGCTTATCACTTATGACAGATGGAACATGGAAATATCATTGGTTATGTTATAAAACCATTCAAGACTCATGATTCAAAATTTAAGATTTAAGAAGATGACCAACTTCCAACTCAAGAAGTGCTGATAAATGATCATAAATGGAATGAGGAGTGCGCATCCAAAAGTGACATCCCAATTTCCCGCCAGTCAAAAATATTTCAAAATACTGAACCGTTCTTCAAAAATACACTAGAATGTCGCAACTCTGTTGCATATATTTGGCAAACTATCCAAGGAGTGAGCCAGTTTCTGTTAGGCAAGGAATAGTGATTACTTTCAAAATGATGTGGAGATATAATGGATGTGGGTATCATTTTGGGGATATAAATATAAATTAATAGAATGATATCAGAACATGAAATTTTGATTTCCAACCAGTTTCTAACTCACTAAACTTTGAAAATCTGGTTCCGTATGTATCAGAAGCTAGATGTCAGTAATGAGCATAGTGGAAGGAGAAGATGGTGTGCCTACGCGCATATTATGTGACGTCATCTGGGATCCCAATATCAGCTGCTAGTCACAGACAGATACCGTTGCCATGGGCGTGCGCAATGAATTCAATCATGTTCATTAAAATTTCTATGAGTTTCTCGAACTGTTTAGAAATAATTCAATTTATATAAACAGGTACCTATTCCTTTGATTTTACTATTTCATTGATTCTGGAAATTGTGATCTTTAGGTAATTCGCAATCGCAAATAGCAAATACATACGAATTATCATGCATTGCCAATCCCATCTGAATGATCCACTACTGTGTGGATTCTGACAGATTAAAATTCAGCAGTTAACGACGTTGACGTTGCTTTTGCTCCGACATTGACAACAGGAGTATCAATTTTTGCCGTTTTGTTATTCAAATCTTTGCTGCAATTTATATTTTATGAGAAATTAAGAGTTTTGAATACATTTTCAATTATTTCTGACATGATATTCGACGGAAGATGTTCTGTAGGAATGGCATCTTGTTTCAAATATTTGTGATTTTTTGGAGGTGTAAGTCAAGAACCGTACTTTCGCAATTGTTTGAAAACATTTTGCATGAATGTGATGATAATATGATAGGTGAATACTTTGGAATGAGGATATAAGGAATATAAGGTAGGTACCATTATTTGAGTTTATATTCTGTCGGCAGCAAGCTCCCATCGTTTCATTAGGTCTCCATTCCTGGAAAAATGCAATATCTGTGCCTTTTGTATGTTAGTTGTAATTTCCATAACCAGAAACGAAACAAGTGGGCATTTCGAAATTATTTCATTAAATTTTAGTACTTATATAATATCTGAAGTTCGAGACATCAATCACGAAAACAAATGATAACAATGACAGTTATATCCCAGTTGACGTCATGCGAAGAACAAGACGAGTTTGAGCTTTCTGTGAGCACACCATCTCCTCCTTCCACTATGAAAATGACAGAAGACATGTATCGCCCTAGAATCTTAAGTTTTTTTATAATTGTCTCCACTTAAGACTCCTAAGTCTTGAATGTTTAAATGTTAAATCTTAAATGCTAAAAGTTTTTATAAAGTCACTCTAAGATGGATCCTGTCACTCTTCAGGCTTCTACCAAAATCCCACGACAATTCAAAATGCAAAAAGGAACCAACGCACTTTTTTTCAATTATTTTTGTTTGAGGTAATTGAAACTGAGCTTTTTCCATTGAATTCTCCATGTTTTTCTACATGTGATAAGATAAGAAAGTAGTAGGGCAAAATATCACTGATTTATTAATGATTCATAATCTTTAAAATACACTATCTTGACACTTACTCCTTGTCGCTTGGGCCCTCTTTGCATAACTGCGTCCAATTAATCATCTATGTTTCCTACTACCTGTAAGTGTAATGATTCCAAACTCAACAACATCAACTGTATGAAATATAAGACACAATTCAGCAAATCTCAGTTATTTTTTCATCAAAATACACTCTTATTGAAGCTAAAAACAACCATACATAAAACGAACCCTCCATATATCCATACACAACCTACGTTCTGTAACTGGGCGGGGTGGCGAACATCCTGCCCTCCTTCCGCCTCTTCCACTTGCCCAGCTCGCCCCTACCGCCCGGCGTGAAGAACCTGTTGGCCGTCGGCCGCAACAGTGAATCAGTACTGGGCGTTTGCTGCAGCTTGACCACAGTCGGCTTCGAGGTGACGTTCACGAATCTGGACCAGTAGTCCGAGGGTAGGTCCAGCAGACACTCCATGACTTTGACGATGTCCCTATCGAAAGAAAAAAAAATTGTATACTATGTTAGCATCTTCAGGAGAAGATTAAAACTAGATATCTTATTCTAATGTGGTACTTATACAGGTTCTCCCGAAATTAACCTACCAAACTTCACCAGTGGCACAATAGAACAAAACAATCAATGAGCAAAGCTGTACAGTTTTTATAAAGAATATGTTTTTGTTCAAGCATACAGTTCAGTTGTTGATGTATCATAAGAGAGACAATACAGTACTTTTAATGGTTTCCTATATAATCTTGATATTTTATTCAAATTATTTTCAGAACAAGATCCCCAAACATTTATCAAATAGTTGATTTGACTTAGTGAATAGAGTACTATTTTTGCAATTTTCATATTGAGTTTGGGACATCTTCTCAATGCACCAATAATAGGGGAAATTATCTTTGTCAGAACCTCAAAATATTTGTCCCACTTCAATTTTTCATCAAAACAAATACCTAAATACTTTATCTGTTTAGTTTGTTTCAAGAATTCATTCTTTATTTGAAGATTGAGCTGAATTTTTAGTTTATTTTTTTGTTGAAAAATCATGCATTACGTTTTTCAGGTATTTATTGTTAGAGTGGGGCCATTTTTCAAATAATTTCAGATCGTTATTTATTACAGTTTATAAAATTAGAGGATTTTTGTGTACATATTAAAGCACTGTATCGTCTGCATACAGTGTGTCCCACTTACCATGCTCACCATGGGTATCTTTTTAACGGTGAGAGATGAGAGATACGAGGTCGGTTAAATGACACCAAATGTGGAGTTTGTCAAGGCCAACTATAATGTGAAAAAATATTTTGATAAAATCTTTTCGTTTTTGTTTTATACTCAAAAAACAGATTTTGATCATTTTCATGTCTCCTCCGAAACTTCTTAATTTATGAAAATATTCAAATAGGAATTTCACATTCTCATGGCAGTTTTTCAAAGTGATTTCGAAAAAAATATGAAATGTATACCAACTCTTCTAGAATTTGAGATATCAGCACCAACTTAAGTTTTTCATATGTAGGTCATAGCTCACTATGACTTAGTTACAAATAACTTTTTTTTCTCTTACAGATGATATGACGCAGTAATAGTTTTGTGCTGATAACAACGGAGTTATCGTCATTTATACAAAAACAAAAAATAATTTGGAAGCCGCCAACTTGAATTTATAAATATTAACAAAAAAATCATGATCTTCGACCTCAAAAACCCCGATTAACTTGAAATTTGGCAGGTGTTCATAATTTCGGTGACAATAGATTATGGAATTTTTGTTGAAATTGAAAAAAATGGCTGCTCCAAGATGGCGGACAAGATTTGGTCCGAATTCATTCAAAATTGGGAAGTGGGGGTTTTTGAGGTCGAAGATCATGATTTTTTCGTTAAAATTTATAGATTCAAGATGGCGGCTTCCAAATTATTTTTTGTTTTTGTATAAATGACGATAACTCCGTTGTTATTAACACAAAACTATTACTGCGACATATCATCTGCAAGAGAAAAAAAAGTTATTTGTAACTAAGTCATAGTGAGCTATGACCTACATTTGAAAAACTAAAGTTGGTGCTGATATCTCAAATTCTAGAAGAGTTGGTATACATTTCATATTTTTTTCGAAATCACTTTGAAAAACTGCCATGAGAATGTGAAATTCCTACTTGAATATTTTCATAAATAAAGAAGTTATGGATGAGACATGAAAATGATCAAAATCTGTTTTTTGCGTATAGAACAAAAACGAATAGATTTTATCAAAATATTTTTTCACATTATAGTTGGCCTTGACAAACTCCACATTTGGTGTCATTTAACCGACCTCTTATCTCTCACCGTTAAAAAGATACCCATGGTGAGCATGGTAAGTGGGACACACTGTATATGGTATAATTACTAGCTATACCAACTTTCCTGATATTTTGAATATAAAGCAGATACAGTATTGGTCCTAAAACATATTCTTGTGAAACACCCTTATTCATTGACAGTTCATGTCCACCCAACCGTGGAAGACAATAACCGCCAACATTAGGCAATTTATTTGGTAATCCAAAAGATAAGGTGGACGAAGATGAGGTGGACAAACTCAAAAGGTCAGGAATATACAAAATTAGTTGTAATGATTGTGATAAAACGTATATAAGCCAAACCAGGTGACCCATAAAAACAAGGTTTAAAGAACACCTAGCACATTTGAAACATGGTAGGTTAGATAAATCGTGTGTAGCCGAAAACATGTTCAATCACAATCATAACACATATGAATAACCTCAAATTAGTTGAGCAAGTTAATAATGTACCTATCCATATAATTTAGTGATATAAGACCAAGGTTAACATGTGAACTGAACCATTGTTATAGAGCCGGCTGTGGCATGCCAAAAAGTTCTTTGAAAGTATGTATGTGGCGACAAACGTGATACAAATATATAATTATATCGGAAGACAAGCTCGGTTAATGTCAATCAATCTCCCTACAGAAAAGTCAATAAATCTTTCAATAAATACCTAGTCTCTTGGAACACCCTGTTTGGATCCGGATCCTCAGACGAATACCCCACGACGGTAGGGCCGAACACCTTCGCCAGATTCTCCTTCGGCATCTTGCACTCGACAGCCTGCGCCACCTTAATAACAATAATATTTATGATAAAATAATGATAGTATATTTTTTACGAGTGACGAAAATGAAATTACTCAAAAAATGTTTTCGACGAGTGAAACACTATACTTTTTCTACAACGCCGTTAATACTATAACATTTTTTTTTCTGTGACAGGAAACAAGACATATCTTATCTTTGTTGACATATAACAAAATGTAACTTATTCAACTTTTGTCACTAGAAACAAAAGTTAATGTCATGAGAATTTCTCCAACCAACAACGATAATCACGTTTTAGCTGAAGGTATTTCATTTCAAAATGACATCTTTTCGTTGAGGGTTGTAGAAACATCATCTTCATTACCTATATGAACTATGACAGAAATTAAATTTGAATTTTTTTTGGCAACCGTCCGGGAAGCATGGCTTTTTCTTTGGGAAGTAGCATTTTCCCGTACGAGTCCGGAAAGTACTTATGAAAATATTGGTAGGTATGGTTTTGATAAATGCAGTTGATCATTACCATAGCATCGTAATAACGACTGACAGCTATTTGACGTTAAATTAGTTGACATTTCGATTTTTGAAAGTTTGCATGATTTTTAATAACAATTACTGCAATAAAATATGGAAAGCAGAAGCATTAGTGAATTTGAAAATGTGCCTTGCAAAATTTCCAATGCAGCAGTTGCTGCTACAACAGCAATTATTGCCTTTAAATATTATTAGTAGGAACAGTTTTTTTTATTCAGACTTCTAGGACTCGCCTATAGCTTGCCCTAGAATTTTGTGTTGGACTTCAATAGAAATAACCAAAAAGTGAATAAAAGAAGTGACGCCCGCTTCGATTTCTTCTTATATGGTCTTTGCGATCTATTCTGCTCCAATAATATCCATGTGAGATGATAGAAGAGGGAGATACAGCGTGCAAACCGATGAAATCGCTATACCTTCATTTGCCTGTTGTACTCATTATATACCCTTCAAAGTCGTCTTAGGCCCTCCGCACACGGCTTGCACACGGGTTGATCGGCGACATGGGCGACGCGATTCGAATCGTACGACGGTCTCCCCTCTACTCGACTTCCTAAGCAAAGCGTCTGGATCCCGCACACGGGTCTTTTAGTGGTCGTCTAGAAACGTACGATTTAAGATCTCCTCGTTTCCAGTCTCAAGCGATTAGCAAGGAAGCAGTTTGATCGAGTGAATCTTGCGTCTCAATGGAGAAAGTTGTTCAATAATTTTTCAATCATTGTGAATATTTGTGTTAACTACCTTAAGTTCTTTACTTTCAGTAACTAGAACATATAATCGTTTGTTTCCAATTTATACTCTCAAATTTAGGAACTGTTTGATTTTTGGAAACATATGAATCTTACATCAATGTAATAAGTATGCGTTCTTCTGCGCTGACACATTCTCTCATATTTGTATCCATATAATTTATGGCTGGAGCAAGGGGTTCCACTAGATCAATATATGATTCCTCCGACATTCTATAAAATGACAGAAATTTTGTGCCACTCTCTTGTATTTCACTTGCAGCAACAAAAAAGTCGAGTGTGAAAATTTCGTGCAATGTATGGATGCACCCATAAATTTCGTTGTCTTCTTCTTCTCCTGATCTGCCGGTGCCACAAAAACATGAATATGTCCTCCTCGTCACTGGAACTGCTCATTTTTAGCGAAAACTTTATTTTTGAAGTTGCATAAAATAGAGTAACTAAGTTGATCAGACGCGAGTCGACTACACAAAACGTCGACCCATATGCGGATGACACTCACTCCCTTCTCTTGAATCGTACGAATGCAAAAATTGTGACGTCATTGCAATCGCGTCGATCGACCCGTGTGCGGAGGGCCTTATATGGTCAGTGCGATCTTACCTGCTCCAACTGTATGCATATCAGATGCTAGAATGCAGAGTCACAGATATCATCAATAAAGCAAGTAGTTTGAACCTTCTGCAGTTGTTTATATTCATAGTGCCTAAATGTCCCTATAACTACAATAGGTTATGGGCCCAGAACCTACAATATTTTGTCTACACGTCCACAGTATCTTCCGGACTTGATATGTAAATTACTATATTAGGAAGTAAAGGGCGAAGTTTATTTTTCATTATAAGCAATCATAACAAACAATAATCTTCCACCCAACCCACCTTCTGCAAATGCAGTATCACGAAGGCCAACGTATCCCTGTTGGGCCTTGGCAACTTCGCCACCGTTTCGTACAGAATGGGCTCGACGTCCTGCGCATGCTTAGCGCGGGCCGCCTGCACGAAGTCATGCCACAGGGCGTAGGTGGTCAAGGGCTCCTTGAGCGAGCGCAGGAAGTCCTTGACGCAGCCGCAGATCACGTGGACGTCGACGTCCTTGAGGCTGGGGGTCGAGCGACCCGACACGAATTTCTCTTTCAGGCCTGGAAAAAGGATTGCGTTGCGTTGATTCAGTAGATTTTTTTTTGTAATAATAATACTTTTTCAGTACTTATATTACCCTATACAGGGTGTCCCAGAATAACGTTCGTATACTCCAGGAGGTAATTGTGCATATGAAAATGAGAAAAAAATTTTCCTATCAACATGCGTCCGAAAATGATTACAAAGGGCGCTAGAGTAATTCGAAGGTAGGTCCTTGAATGCAGTTTGTCTCAATGGGAAATTTTCAAGTACAAAAAGAAAAATCAAATGTGGCGTGCCCCAAGGGTCTATTTTAGGGCCAATCTTATTTCTTGTTTATGTCAACTCAATATCAAAATCAAATCTGAAAGGTGAAACAAGATTATATGCAGATGATACCATGATATTATACTTTAGCAACTCTTATGATGAAATGAAACTCAATAGGTACTGTGGAAGACATGCAAAAATTTCTACCTGGTTGGTCACTCACAAGTTAACACTAAATGTAAATAAATCTGGATATGTACCCCCCCCATGTCCAAGTGAACATACAGTATGGGAATGCAACCTTGCAATACTCTCGAGTTATTGAGTACCTTGGAATTTACGTTGATGGAACTTTGTCCTGGAAAACATATTTAGACAGACTGAGATCTAATATTGCAGCTCCAATAGGTATATTATGGAAGTTGAATAATGGGCGTGTACACCTTAGTAGAACTATTAACTCAAACCATGTTTATAATGATCCTTTTATACATAAATAATGATTGACGACATAATTCGATCGAAAAATTAACTGGAATGATTTATTTTTGGACATAAATAATAGTACCTTCTGAAAACGGACCCTCTTATGACGTAGAAACCTCATCTCGCCATAGTTGAAAGAAAATACCAAACGCCCGACGGAGACTGAGGCAACTGATATTTTAATTCTTTCAACTGTGATTTCACGCTAATTCACTCTGTCAGAAATCATGTATCATTCATCTCTGTCTGGAATAGTCTTGTTTCAGTATTAGGGTTTTGACGCCTCGTTTTCAGAGGTCCGAAAAATCGGAGATTTCAATAATTTTTCATAAAACGTAGGGAGCTCACAGCAAGAAACGGTTTGCGGTGGTGAGCTAGTTTGGGTGAGTTCTATCGAATTATGAAATAAAATTTTTTTGTGATATAAGCCCATTGCATACTAAAACATCTTTTAAGAGGAATTTACTATTCATTGATACATTGTCACATACAATATCTTACTCTACTATGGTACCCTTCCTTCAAAAAAGTGATAAAGCCAATTGAGATCTTACAAAATAGAGCAATAAAAAATATTTATGGATTGCACAGAAGATATCACACAAATGATCTCGATAAAAATTATAACATTATGCCCGTAAATGCTATTTCCAGATACCAAGAATTCATCTATATATGCCAAATCATTAATTCTAAGAGGCTGTCTAACCTAACTTTCATCAGGAGAAATGATAATCATCACCATAATACTAGACATAACAATGATTTGGACGTCCATGTTTGGAATCATTAGGTTCTCTACAACCTCTGGTCAACACTCAATATTTGTCAAGGGTGTTATTTTGTATAATGAGCTCCCTTCCCATATAAATAATTCTCCAATAATGATATTCAAGAAAAAGTTGAAAAACTTCCTTAAACCAAGTTGAATAATTGGTTGGTTTTGATTTTTTCAGGCTCTTTTCAATCAAATTTCCCTTTTTAAAGATGAAGTCTAATTTTTGAACTAAATAGATGAAATCTGTGGTGAATAATGAAAATCACATAATGATATCTGTCATTGTTTCAGTTACAAGGTGCTGACAATTTTTTCAAAAATTGAGAATGGGCGAGTGGACTAATAATTCAATTACTGCAACACTTCCCACGCTTTTTTTATGTAAGTTTATGTGAGTTCTGTCCTCAAATAAAACATAATAGTAGGAACCCACAATTCGTGCGGCGTGTTGTCACGTTTACTGCATCAAATGTCCTCTGGTGTGAATTAATATAATTACTATTTACAAAAAAAAATTATATGCATAAGCATTAGATTTTCTATTGCTAAATAGGAATATTACCAATACATAATTGAGAATTTATGAATTGTTGAACAACTAATGTTTCTGAAGTTCTCAATCATATTTCAACAAATGGCAACTGTGCTATGATCTGCCCCTACTTAGGAAATTGTTATGTAAATTTCTATCCCTTTGAAAATTACTGTGGCATTATTGATGATTTTAGCACCTAAAAATTGACCAAAAAATTCTAAAAATATATGAAATTGGAAGTTGAGTGATGATTCTATTCAAGAAATAAAAAAAAATTCTATTCACCTATTGTTCAAAGGACCTCCACTGATAATTATTTATTCTCCAGAGGAACCTTTGAGTATTTAAGGAACTAAAGTTGAGGAATTGGTTGGTTTTAATTTGTTCAGGTTATTTTCAATCAAATTTTCCTTTTAAAGGTAGAGTCCTATTTTTGAAGTAGATAGATAAAATCTTTAGTGAATGATGAAAATCAAATAATGATATCTGTCATGGTTTCAGGGTTACAATAAGGTGCTGAAATTTTTTTCAAAAATTGAGAATTCATGAAGGCAAGAGAAAAAACCTAAAATACATAAAACTAAATTAATATTTTTCATGCACAAAAAGTAGTGGTGTAAATCCCTAGGGATTCAAAGTACCACTTCTTTCACTGTAATCTGGATCACCATAGTTACAGATGTCATTGATATGGTAACATCCAATGAGCCCTGATGTTTTAGAAATGTGATAACATGAAAACTACAGGAAAACATGTATAACTGTCAATTCAAGCCAAGTTTTCAAGTCATCACAATGTCAGATGATGACCTTGGCTACAGCAAATAGAGTACCTACCATTTTGTGGTATCATTAAGTGCATAAAATAGTATAAATATACACCTCAGGATTGAAATGTTTTTGAATCCCTTGACAAATTATAGTCCTCCTGTTGGTTGGGCTATAAACTTTTATCTGGGGATTTAAAATACCACTTGAGGCCTTGAGTGTATAATGTACTATTAATTCATCTGAAAATGTAATCAATTATAAAAACTAAATTTCATAACTGGCTCATGTTGTTCCTATATGTGATTAAAGATAAAACCATGGGATAATGAGGAAAATGAACTGAATTAGTTTTGAGAGCAGCATAGAGTACATGAAAATAGATTTTTTTCTAATAGCACATGTAATAAAAGAATAATGGCAAAAATTAGGATTTCATAGAGAAATCATTGAGAGATGAAAATTACCAAATGAGTCATAAGAAAAAAGATCCAAAATAAATTACTTAGCCTCACTATTACCAATAATGTATAATGTATGGATACTTTGCTTTCTATTTGCTGGGAAAACCTTAATTCAAAGTATCATTGGAATCAGGAAAGTAAATGACAATATTTATAGAAAAAAAAAAAAAAAATCACAATTGATTGAAAATTGAAATCAATTTCAGGTTTTACCTTTTTTTTTGCATTATATGTTTCAAGTTACCTTTAACATCTTTTTCTGAGCCTGGCACTCTGTATACCCCCAATTCCTCTAGCCCTCTCTGTTCAATCTCATTGACACAGTGTACAATCAGAGAAGGCACCAATGGTGGACTTGTAGGAGTATAATCAGCTATAGTCCCAGTGAATTTCTTAGAACCAGGAGTATTCATGATAGGCACACAAGGTAGGGGCATCAAGTTCCTGCAATCAAGATGGCATAGTGCCTTGCATTCACGACATTTCAGAGCAGTACGGCTGAAACCAATCTTTTTCTCACAAGCTTGGCAGGATTCTGGCATAACTACTGTTTTTTGCTGGTAGAAATGCTGCCTCAAGTTGGATTGTTTTTCAGTTGTTGGAGTGAAGAATTTTGCCCCTGAAAAATTCAAGACAACTTAATAAGTACAAAGTTTGGGTAGGCACAAGAATAAATTGAGTTAGTTAAAACAATTACAAACAGTAGTAAACCAAGTTTTAATTCATACCTTCACGATTCCAAGATTCAAACACTAATTCTGATGGAGCAATTGCACCTTCATTTTCAGTCATAGGTACAGATTCAATAACTGAAGTAGCAGTAATTGGCCCATCTTTGGTCACCATCAAGGTAGTAGTAGCTCGAACAGTCTCTGAAGTGCCAATTTCAATGACTTTGTTGGTAGATGACCTTCTTTTCTTTGTAGCAGGCTCAACATTTTTATCTGGCACAGGCTGGCGTTTAGTCCATTCTCTGACAGATTTTTTACCAGTGCATATTGAGGAATCTAAATCATCTTCTGACCGTGAAAAGCTGAAGTCTGAGAGGACAGATCCTGTAGAGTTGATTTCTTTGATTGCAGTTAACCTGTCCGGGTCACAGAAACTCATTCTACCTGAATTCAGGTGTCTCATCTGCTCCTTAGTTTCATCTGCTAGCTTATTTCTGTGGTCTTTGACAAGTTCATTGCAGAACCTGGCTATCTGTACCTGAAAATTATCTCGCTCAGCTTGGATACATCTTCGTTTCTTTTTTTCTTCATCCATCATTGTTCTTGCAACAAATAAACTCTTCTTCATATCACTATTTTCAACTATTTTCTCTTCCAGGATGGCTCCAAGCCTGTGACACTCTGCGAGTGCTTGTTTCCATTGTAGATACATAAGTTTTGTTTCTTCTGCAAAGTTGTGGAAGCTATCCCGTAAACGTTCATTGTCTTCTAGTTTCTGGTCTATTAAGCGCTTGAAATCGTCGTATAAAGCAACAATGGTGAGGTCTACGCTCGATCTGGTAGATGCTGAATCTGATGTGGTACTTTCTTCACTATCAGAGTTCGTTGATTTTGGAGCCTGACGCGGCAACCGAGGGGTTTTGAACGGAGTATCACACATATTATAGATTTACAATCGAATGTTTAAAAGCAAAATGATTCTAAAGCTTATTTTGATGAATCAGATTTTCAGTAAATTTTATAACGATTGTTTTCATTACAAAACTTTCGAACTTTCACACCATTTTTCAAACACCAAACGTTTTGTAACGGTTTTTTCAATATTTCAGATGTATTTGAAACTTCATTTGTCATATGAGTAGAATCAAGAAGAATATTAGTTCATTTGATAGCACAGCTTCTGTACGGAAGTATAAGAAGAAGATTTTAATCACGAAGTAAAAAAGAACTTTGCCAGGTATCCAAAGCTACATAGTATCTATGTCAGTCAGTGGATAAATATTTAAAAAAGACGAAACGTCAGGGAAATTGTCACTGATTATTTTTGCACATAAATAAATAATAATATGTCTAATATCCAACCTTCACTTTTATCAAAAATGAGTTCATGGGTCATTTTAGTATATAATTAATTACTTTTTAATTATTCAAGTTTTGCAATTCGGTAGTAAAAATCCCGAGTAGACCTGTCAGTCAATGTGCGATAAGATGAAACCAAACACCTCCTGCTTTGAATACTTGTGAATTTATTGTAATGTGAAAGTTTAGGTTGCGATTATAGAATTCCTTTAATAATGTCACTATCGAAACCTTTCGAAGAAAACAATCTGCATAATTCCAGTCATTTTGTTAAAAATGCGAATTTAAATCTTCCTATGTTTGGAGGGGCTAGAAGTGCACCTGTGTTGCCCCCTAGGCCTTCGAATTCCACCCTGGCAAATGGATATAACAACTTCAATTCTTATAATATGCCCTATTCTGGTATGTTCTATTGATAACAAAATACTTGAACATAACATAGCTCATTATTTCAAGTGTTCACCTATAGTTTGATAAAATTTCAGATAGTATAATCAACTATACTCATATTATAGAATCTAGGATTTCAGTCTTTATTTTCATCCACTATTACTTGGCATATTCAATCAAAATTGTCTGCCCATTTTCAAAAAGTTTAATCAATGATTTAGTGTACCTATTCAACTCATGTTATTTTATTTGAATGTATATGAAATCATGTCAATTTTGATTTTTGATAATTGATTCTTTTAACGGCAGTCTTATAAGAACAATTTCATACCAATTCCAATGGTAAAGGCTTGGTAGTTTCCCAGGTACCTTAGGTACCTCTAAACTGTAATATTTGTCAATGTAAATTGTTCTGAATTATCAGGGTAGCCATCCCTATGGATTTCCCTGGACATGCCCGGGATTTAGCGGGCGTGTTTTGAAAAATTGTCCGGATTTTCGTCAGGTTCCACCACTACATAAACTACCATCATGTCATTGAAAGTTTGCTCAAAAATTGAATATTATTTAAAGATTTGATAGATGCCTATTACTTATATGACTTAGTTTTGTTTCAAACTGTTGATTGAGAATTAATTTTTTGTTGTAAAAATATTTTAGAGTTTTTATTCGGTTTAGGACAAAAAATAAATATGTTTAGGTACCCTTACCCAAACATTGTACCTACTATAGTGATATTCGCTATTCACCTTTGAATTCATATGTAGGAAGATATATTTTTTGAATTAAAAAAACTGATTCGAATTTTCGAAATTCCCGCTGTCCGAATTTTGTCTGGCCTAGAATTATCCAATGACCAGTAAAAGTAGAAAGATATAATGGAATATTCCATGCCCCTCTTCACCTAAAGATTCCCTAATGATTCATATTGAGTAAATTTTCCATGAAACCCTTAAGTTTGGAATTTGCATAGGTTATGGTGGCTACAATTCCTACAATTCTTTCAACTCCTATGGCACACCATACCGCAGCACCCCATACACCAGCTATGGCTCCTCATACAACAACTATGGATCGTTTGGAGGCTACCCAAACTATGCAGCTGACGATCATGAAAGACGTTTCATCCAGTACGCTGAGGAAAGTTCGAGAAACACTTTTGCCAGCGTTGAAAACATCGTGCGAGCGTTCAACAGCATAGCTATGATGCTGGACAACACTTTTTTCGCGATGACCTCTAGCTTCAGGGCTGTTTTGAGCGTGGCAGAGAATTTCGGGCGGTTGCGATCGATGTTTGGCCAAATCTGGTACTCCGTCAACATTTTCAGGTTTCTCAGTTGGTTGTATAGGAAACTGATGAGGTTGGTTGGCTACAAGGTGTCTAATAGCACAACTTCTGTGGCTTGGAAGCAGGCGAAAAATGGAGCAGTGGGACCCCCTGGACCAGGACCAGGGAAAGGCTCCAGCTGGCCTACCATTGCTTTTCTAGGAGTGCTGATGTCAGCACCTTACATCATCAGCAGGTTTCTTCCTAAATATGAAGGTCAGTTCAATTGATCAATTTCCGCCTCCCAAAGTTTCAAACAATCACGATTTTTTGTTCATAAATCAAAAAAATCTGAATGTTTGAAATAGATCTTGATTTTTTTTTATTCATACTCTTGAAATGAAAATATTAAATTTTGAAATCAATTGGTTCATGTTTATAATGTGTGGTTGAATGAATATTTAAGTTGGATGATTAGTTGTTTTTACACTTACATATTATGTAAATACATAATAATATTAAATCTTCCTGTTTTCGAATTTCCTGAATGATAATAGATAGATAGATAGATAGATAGATAGAATTTATTTAACCATGTTACACAAAAAAATTCTATGTTTGTAGCAGGTCAGATACAAGATACAAGTAGTGTTATATTGTTAAGCTCACATATTAAAAATTACAAGAACATGGAAGTTAACAAATTACAAGTTTAAAAATCTAAAATCACAATATTAAAATGTTCCATAAGAGAAAAAAGTCAATACACAAGTAATGAACACACTAAATGAAAGACAACAAACAAACCAAATTTCCGATGGACCAGTGTGAAACTTATGTGCAACTTATGTGGTGCTCACACTACAAGCCTTACTACAAGTATTCTGATCCACATATTGAGTTTTACTCCGGTTCATCGGATATTATCTTTAGACGGGGGCGACATCATCCACTTTTATTTGCTTCTTGTTTCAATCGCAATTTTTCAATTATTTTGCTCAGGAGGTGATTGGTACAGGTGTCGTTCGATAAACTACAATCGTTTTACATGCCTTTGGGACATACCGGGTGTCCCAAGTTATCGTATATAGGCAATATCTCGCTTATTTGACAAGATAGTTGAAAAATTCAAAAACTTCATTGAATGGCATTGAAGTACCTTCCTGAGGACATATGAAAAAAATTAATTATATTGGACAGTTGTCTGGCAGCTACCTCCCAGCACATTTTATTTTCAAATGGCATCCCCTGTATGTTTTCATTGTAAATTACGTGTCACTCAAATTGGAATACAACGATAGCCTATACTAGGTATTTTTTTATTGATAACAATAACAACATTTTGTGACTGGTTTCAAGTTACTCAATTATTATCCTTATAAAAAAATATTGCCTCCGCTCATGTTTTTTGTTTCAAGAAGCCGATGCTTATGTCATAATAATTTTGAACTCTTGCTGTGATTTTTAGTTCATTTTTTGATTCGCATAAAAGCTATTTTAGTTGAAATTCATACTTCATTGAATGTTTCTTTTTTTTTTCATAACAATAAAGAAATTCCAAGTATAGAATGGCACACAATTTTCAATGACAATATACAGGGGGTGCCATTTGAAAATAAAAAGTGGGGGATAGCTGCCAGAGAACTGTCAAATGTAATAGATTTGTTTATATGTCTTGAGGAAGGTCGTACTTCAATGCCGTTCAATGGTTCAATGCAGTTTTCAAATTTCGCAATTATCTTGTCAAATAAGCGAGTAATTGCCTGTATACGATAACATTGGGACACCCGGTATATCATTTTGGTATCAGACGACGGTCGAAATTTGCAGTCGGCTCTTGGACTTAGTTTTGTTTATAATTTCCTATACATATATTATTTATGGATCTTTATAGCCTGATTTTTTCCATTACCTAAATCAAAAAGCCATTATACCTCTCCCCACCCTACGAAAAAACATCATCGACGCCTCTGTAATGAATTATATCTTATTATTAATTTTGAATAGATAGTGATGTAAACGAACCGATTATAATAATCTCCAATTTTCAAGTAAAAAAATCAATAAACATTACATAATTCATGAAATATGATGCATAATATGATGAAATAGGTATCATCATATGTGTGGGCAATATTTCAGAAGTTATGTCATAGTTACAATGTCTTTCAACTATCATATTTTTTCAGTATTTTTGTTTTATCTGTAGGTATACCTACTATTTATTTATTTCACTATTCATGTTTTTAATAACATGGATTGAAAATATGATGTGCCCAAAACAACAATAAAAAAAAAACTTACTAACAACACTCCAAAGTTTTTAGAATTCTTCACTTTTATATTTTTTAAATACAATAACAATAATTGTTCAATGTATTCCTGGTAATATCGACGGAGGCAAAAAAATCTGAGCTATACCTCTCAGTTTCAGAGATATACAGGAAAAAACGAAAATATTGATTTTTGTTTCTCACTTATATCTGCTGTTGGCATTTTGTCATTGTAACTTTCAATCGGCTATAAAAAAATATGTAAACCAAAGCGTTCTACAGACAGTTGTTTTCCCTGGGCCACCCCTGAATCTAACTATGAAATATTAAATACTGATCTGGATTTTGTATTATGGATTTTGGGAGCTTTCAATCTCCTAAAATCAACGGTGTGTGTGGTACTTGTTTGAAAAAGGTGTTGTTTTTAATCGAATAGGCCTTTTCATCTAGATATATTTTTCAGACGCATGCGCTCGTTTTTAGATCCGAAAATTTATTGGGTGATGCGAAGGTGAAGTCTCATTGGCTATAGTTCCAACACAAATTGCTGATTGGCCATTTCGAATATTATTGACGTTCTGTCTAATGTCAACAGTGTCAACCACCATGGGCATTCGTCTTTCGTCATTGAGAAACAACAATAACAACATAGTATTTTTGTTTTTATATTCCTGGTGTGTATTAATTGTATTATAATAATTTAATTACAAAAAACGTACTTACTCGTACTGAGGCGTGTGGTACTATGGTGTAAGTGTTTCGGTGAAAATGGCCGCCACTGTCGTTGGATGCGAGATGTAAACAGAGATAGTCATTTGTCATATAAATGAAAAGGCCTATTTAAAATCCATTCTCTGTCTCTCTCCTACATATGAGTTCTTATAGAAAATGCCATTAATATGAATTTTCTGAATAATAAGTGCGATACACGATACACCCTTTATTTTTGGAGTTGAAAGCTCTCAAAATCCATAATTGAAAATGGTTTTAAAATGACATCGTTAGGGGTGGCCCAAGGAAAACACTTTCGTTTACATATTTTCATGTATTTTTGGAAATACAATAGATTTCCAGAAAGATAATAATGAAAATGATAATCCCCTCATGAAGTACACATAAATGGAAAATTATAGATAATAATTATTAATTCTGATGAATCATAGAAGGAGTGCCTGTGGTACAAAAGACTTAAATAAGGGCCTGCAGATTATTCCACTTTTCTTTCTTTATTTTCAGTTTCCCCTTGTACAGTTTTCGTGATTTCCTTCGTATTAATACGAAGGAAATGAATTCATTCTGAATTTGTTGAGTAATAGGTAGGTAACTTATATTCATCAGTATGATTAAGTTTGAAACTTTTATGTCCGTGTTCTCATATATTTGAGGCAACGGATATCAGCTATCACTGATGGATCTAATCTCCTTATTCCAGAGGTTGAATCGTATTGTAGTAGTGAATGGCTGGCTGAGAAGTTAAAAAAGTAGTCATGACTCAAGTTATAATCCTAAAAGTTTAATCTGTTGAGCTGATTTACAAATGCTAATATAGTCAGAAGGCATCAGAGATCACGATCACCATTGGATTCTATACAGATACCTGTTTTTACATTCACAAGTCAAAAAATAAGACCAGAATCTCAAACTCGAATATTTTTTTTGGGAGACCTACTTTTGCCGAATCACCGACGATATGTCAATCTTCATTTGGGAGTGTATAAAAAGTGTCTAGTGAATGAAATTCTTATACATGAAGGATTAATTAAACTTTTCAATTCACTTTTTCTATTCAGATAAAGGAGATCCTGCGAACTGGAAATCCCCAGGAATCCGTGCTAAAGCTGTGTTTGACTTTATCGCCACCGCACCCAACGAGCTCAACATCCAGGCCAACGATCTAGTTCTGTTGGCCCCCACGTCCATTCAAGAAGAAATGAACCTGAAGAATTCTGGATGGGCGTTCGGCGTCTGCAAGAGCAAGTCAGGCCTGGTGCCCTTGAATTACCTAGTCATCAGCAAAAACAGGCCTATTTTGAGCAGTCAGAAGCCCGTGGCAGAAGCTGAAGAACCGCCCGTCCCAAGAGTATTCCCCAAAACACACACAAAGAGGGTTAGTTTCGGGGAGAACCAGATTTTTGAAAATGTCGATCTTGAGGATTATTTGCCAAGGGAAGATTCATGTGATAAAGCAGAGAAGGAAGTGGGAAAATCAGAGACTGATAAAGCTGAAGTTAAAGCAGACATAGCTGAATAGGAAATCTGGAAATATGTTGTATTATTGAGGCCAAATTTTAAAGACAAATGATTTTCAATTGGGCATTATTAAGGCTTGAATTAAAAGATTAATTTGCTATTTGAAAGTTTTAGAATTCTATTGTGTATAGAAGAAACTGAAGACAATTAGGTGTGTACCTGTGAATTGACTAAAAGACCTCTATATGACATGAATTTATGGAATATATGAATTACAGAGAAAATATCAAAACTAAGTATCATAATGAGATTCTCTAGTTTCTGTTACTTTTCTAGTATGACCTGATTTCAAAACATTCTCCATAAACTTATCAAGATATTATATAGAAACTTCTGAAATAGTTTACATCATAAAATGATTTTTTCCAGTTTCATTGACTTTTAAATCCTTTTTTCTTGGTGATAAAGATAATATTAAATATTTATTAGTTCTTAGTGCAACAATGTTTTTTACACTGTTTCTAATTGGGAATTGTTTTCAATAAAGTGAATGATGAAAAAGATAATGTCTTCTTCCCTGAATTCAAACATGTAGGTAATGTGAATAGGTGTGGTAACAATTTTGTTATTCAGATGAACTATGAAATGAATTCTACAATTCTTTTACATATCACTAATTAAACTTAATGGCAAGTACAGGAACATGTTAAAGAAATTATAACAAGAATTTTATTGAAGGAAAAAAATATTTACAATGAAAGAAGAACAATTAAGAAGGAAATGAATTTATTTTAAGCACTATTAAAATCTAGAGCACAATGGGATTACATTTATACTGGAGCTTTGTGAACAAGGTTGAACCAGTGTCCACATTCGCACCTCTTGGGCTCGCCCTTGTGCAGCCACATCCAGGTAATACTAGTGGATTCTTCTTCACAGACACAACCTACCAGGCGAGCATCAAAAGCTGATGGGATCTCATTGGGAGCAGCCCTGGTGCCCGCGCCTCGCTTGATCACTTTGGCGTCGAAGGGATTATCATTTCCAGCTACTTTGGCAAGCAACTCGCGCTTCTCTAGACCAGTTGCATGCTCAAGGGGATCCGCCAAAGTTACTAGAACAAAAAGTGAGGTTAGGTTTCACAGGTGTTATTTTCCAGAGATTTATCACTATCTGAGTATTTCATTAGTTGTATGAGAGCAACGTATCGAGGAAAACTTGTATTGCTTCGATAATTATGGTTTCATGACCGTTTTCCCAAATTACGTAATGTCAAATTTGATGGATATTTTGGGAAGGGCAAACGTTCTTGAGAAGTAATATTATTTGATTTTTCTCACCTTTTGTTGAAGCGAATCTATAGCTGGTAGATAGAACATGTCTTCTCGCAGAAGAAGCTACAATTCTACCATACAGAGAAGCCATTCTGGCGTTTCACTTTTGGAGGAGAAAAATATGTGAGAACGATTTTTCTTGCTAAGTTAGATGTGGAATTCTAGAGAGGGCGCACACAGGCAAATTATTCAGATCTCTTCTTCTTCTTCTCCTTTTCGAAAACCTGTCGCATTTGTCAGACCAATTATTTAGCCGTCATTGGTCAGACATATGCAATGAACTGAATGTCGTAAACTTGAGAAAAATGACAGGGAACTAAACTGCAATCTTACACAGCTGTAGATGACAAGAGCTCATGGAACTCAGTGAAGTCTGGAGAATTCAAAATAAATTAAAAAAGATTTCAGGAATATTGATGAAATCCAAGATAATACTACTAAGAATTAATCATGTAGCATAGATTAAAGATGTACAAAAACTGTAGCCATTGTAAAGCATCCTAATAAATGTGAGGTATTCATTTTTAAATTATTTTATTAAACAACTGTAAGGTCAATTTACAAATAAGGTTCTGGGAATTCAAAAGTGACTTCCCTACCAGTCAGCTTTTTGTAGACTGACGTAAATGTGTCCACCTAGAACAAAACAAAAAGTAAAAAATATGAACATGCACACATTATAATTCATCAAAAAACAAGAAAAATCTAATTTAATCTTCTCCAGTTCTATGAGAGCATCTGAGTGAAAGGAATGCTTGAACTCTTTTAGATAAGTTGAAATTAAATAATTAAATACAAGCTTTTTCTATGAACAGACCATTAGCTTACAGGTCTAGATTTCACATAGACTCAAGCCCATATTTATACATAGCTGAATATTTGGATAAAATTTTTGTGACCAAAACCTCACCTTATGTTCAATTGTTGTCTGTTGATTTTTGTCAAGGTGGACCTTAATCAGCTGAGAGCCATCTAACCTCACCCTGATCCTTTTACCAACAATTTCAGCTGGAAATACAAGGTCTTCCAAGATAGCATCATACACTGAAGTTAGAGTACGTGATCGTGGACGTTTCTGCTTGTTTGAGGCACGTGTTTTACGTGTAGGTTTGGGCAGAATTTTACGTTCTCCTACAAAAACTACGTGTTTACCACTGAACTTCTTCTCAAGTTCACGTACCAGTCTGGTTTGAACTTTTTGGAACTGCTTCAGTTTTGGCATGGGCACGTAGATAATAACGGACTAAAAAGCCATTAAATCAGGATCAAGAATCAAGATGTACTATATCTGGACCTACCTTCTTGTTATTCAATTCAATTTCCCTAGCTTTGGTAATGTGCAATTCTCTAAGCTGGGCCTTCAAATCAGAATTCATTTCCAAATCAAGCAGAGCTTGAGCGACTTGTGTTTCGAAAGCATCGGGCTCGCCGCCTCCGGCTTTGATTATTTTCGATGACATCTGAAAATCAAAAACACATTGTAAACATCACAATATATAACCTACAGTATGTAGTACTTCAAAATATCACAAGAGATTTTCACGAAGCTATTGAAATTTTCAACTATCTCCAGGTAAATTCGCAATTTCTTAAATCTTTGAAAATTTGATGTACTTTGGAATAAAATATATCAACACATCACAAGCCGATGGAAAGTATCGAAAAGTAATCACAAATTATCCCGCACAAAAGTTGGTCATCGCTTCAAGATTTAGTTGGCAAATATAAATTTAATGTCAAGCAATTACACACTTTCTAATTAAAGTCGATCTGATGAATATGATACACCAAAAATTGAAAAAATTCGTAAATAAATGGATCAAAACGTGTACCTTGTCAATCGAACATGAAAAGGAAGAAAAAAGAAAAAATTGTATTTGACATTTGACTTTTTGACAGCGACTCTTCTTCCTTTCATCATGACAACAGTGACAACACGACATTACCATTAGTAGTTAGTAGTAACTTTTAGTTCACCAGTATAATGACGAAAAATCATCTTCATCAAGTAGAATGGTATCATCTTTGTTTAAATTGTTGATATTATCCTAGTTTCATTGGAGATTAGTTATTATTCCAAAGTACGTACGATTTTAGTTCAAAAAATAATAGAGATAATGAGATGAAATGTAAGAAGAATAAGAAGTTATGTCGTCAATTATTTGACAGTTTTGACTTTGACACATGTAACACTTGCAACTTGTATATCGTATATTTTTTTATTACATGAAATTTGTTATCCAAAGTAAAAGAAATGCCCAATTGTAGCGAGAATTATGAAAGTGAAATATCAGATGGAAAAAATATTAGGAGTATCACTTGTAAATTCTGTAATTCAGTTATTCTCACACCAACATCAGCATCTTTCACATCTTTTGAGGTTAGTTATTGCCTCACTGTTTTTGCTTTTTGTATTAAAATTTTAAAATATATCTGCAAAATAATTTTGTATCAGTTTTAGTACCACATAATTGTTTTTTTAGTTCCAATTACCTCTTATGAGACAGTCTAAAACTAATGAGCAAAATCCAGAATCAGAAGCAGTATCTCTCTTCTGGTCAGTTGGTGACATGTTCACTTTCCAAAACGTTGGATTTTCTAACACAGTGGGCAACAACAAATATCTGACTTGTGCAGACTGTGAAGCTGGTCCTATAGGATATCATGACATACCTAGCAAAATCAGTTATGTTGCTCTAACTAGAGTTCTTCATTGTTGATTTTCTCTAGCAATTTGGAGTCAGTGGTTTGGGATTATGTGATAATGGATATATTTCAGATTAAGAAATTGAATTCTTTTACTGCCAAAATATTATTGATTTTCAATACCTAGTTCAAAGAGGTTCTGAAATGTCTACTTGCTTTTCATTGCTAGTTGTTTTGTATGCAATCACTGGAAATCATAAGTAAAACAAAAAACATACCAAGATTTTTGTTATGTTATGCATTTTGGAATAATGATTGAAATGTACTTATCTTTGATTTAAAATTATGCTTTCCACAAGTATGTTCTTATAAGAACAAGCAAGTCACCTGTTATTGAGACAATATTTCATAACATTTGTAATACTAAAGCACATTTCTATAGTATTGTTGCATAATTTTCTTGCACATAACAAATGAGATGATATTTCAAATAAGTCAATGATTTATATGGTATGGTTCTAATCGACCATTAAGTAATGAAACATGATCTATGATAGACATTAACCTGATTAAGTGGCTCCCAAAGTTATAAATTTTTTTTTGAATGAAAAGAAATATGTTTTTTACACATTTATTTACATAAAACATAAATAAATCATACAAAATATTGTAGATTAAAGAAAATAATTTAATTAAATTGAGTCAAGTGTAGATTGGCAGTTTATAAAATAGAGATAAAGTATACCAGTGTATAATTTATACTTGAAACTATATTTTTTTTATTCCATATAGTTGAGTAAACACTTGTAAATCAGTTATGTTTCCATGGTGGCACAATTATCATAATATAAGCATAAAGAACATGGAGTTTTTCACAAATCAAATTCTTATTTTAGATACTATACATTTATACAAAAAAAAAAAATATGAAACACTGTTCCTGCTACTATTTTCTCACTAAGAGTGACAGAAGGTTGGTATTACCTTTGAGTATTCACACTAGTATATATAATCAAGGGTATTACAATATAATGCTCAACAAGATTATTTCATAATTATCTATACATATCAGCATCATTCATTTTATATACTTAGTAACATATTTTTGAAAAAAATTTAATATAAAACACTCATGTGTGTGACTAGTTTCGGCTCCATGGTCATCTTCAGACACAATAGTAAGGAAGAAGTACATGGAAAATACAAACATCTCAAATCTAAGACAATATATCAGCTGAGAAAATACATACCTTTTTTTGAAGTAATAACTAAATAACCGGAACTTTTTTAAAACAGGTCATATATAGAATAATCAGTCCGGTTTGAGACTAAATGACTTTGAAACAATTGAAAAGCCAAAAGATCTTAACTAGGAGTAAGTTCAACATCGGTAAGTGAATTGAACGAGAATTAATAAAAATTTACTCAAAGAGCTCCATCTCCATTTCAGGCAAGCTATAAAAAAAATACATAATAGTGAGGCTTAATTATAAATGTGGATTTGACTTTGAAAGGAGTACTCGTTTTTCATATTTGGTTTTCATTCTGACTTCAAAATTGTCAACACTTTCATGTCAAAGTCAAATGAACATTTATAATTATGCCTCTCTATGTCTTTCCTTTTGATTGCTTGCCATTGATGGAGATGAAACTGCTTGAGTAGGTTTTTATTAATTCTCGTTTAATTCACTCTCCGATGTTGAACTTACTCCTAGTAAAGTTCTTTTGGCTTTTCAGTCGTTTCAAAGTCATTCAGTCTCAAACCGGGCTGATTCTTCTATATACGACATGTTTAAAAAAAATTATTTAGTTATCACTTCAAAAAAATCTATGTACTTTCTCGGCTATAACATATTGTCTTAGATTCAATGTCTTTGTGATTTCCAGGTATTTCTTCTTTACCATTGTGTCTGAAGATAACCATGGTGCCGAAAAAACTAGTCACACACATGAGTGTTTTATACGAGGTTTTATATTATATTTTGTGGTCGACCGACTTTGCGTTTGTTTCTCTTCCATCTTTTGAAAAATACTAGACCACTTCGAGAATGGATGGCTTCCATGACATATTTTTGAATCTTCATTGATCTGGTACATCCAATTTTAGTTCTATGATAATTTTACCAAATTTTAAAATTGTTGTGTTGAATTTTTTGTTCTCATCCGTATAAACATTTTTTACTTTATTTATTTCAATAAAATAAAAATATTAATTCGAATTTTTATGTATATTGAATAAAGTAATATAAAAAGTTCAAAAATACAACAGCAACTCAAAGGGATCCTTGCAGAAACAAATAAATAAATTTGAGAAAATGGACTTGAGAAGTAATATTTGCGGCAATATGCAAAAAATAGGGAATATTCACAAGAGTTCTTCCAATCTATGCCTGAAGAATAGGGTTCAATAATAAACTATTTGTTTATTTATTTTACTCTGTTGTTGAAGGTGAAAAATATTTGTATGTAGTGGTCATTTGGACGTTGGCCACTTTTGGAAATATTTCAAAATGCATCACAAATCACAAACTATCAAGGCCTCACTCGCTTTCAAAAAATAGTCTTCACTTCTTATAAACCTGCCCTCTGCTCTGACCCTTCAACCAGACATAAGCACTGAACAGAGAGCTGGCAGTGAGCAGCGAAATCAACACCGACGCAGAGAACACGAAGCTCTGCGTGGACATGCAAACGCCGTCGTCAGCCGCCGAGGGCCCGCCCAGGCGCAGGTCCTCGGGCAGCACCACCCTCAGATGCTTGCCCATCATCACTCCGTCGCCCAGAGTGCCGCCCAGGGTGTCGTTGGCCGGGAGGTCTCTCTTGCGCCGCCTGCCCGGCTCGAGTGGCTGGTCGGGACTGGGACACATCTCGCAGTCCGTTTTGCAGAGCTCGATGTTGCACTCCATCATGATGTCCATCACGTCGGGGAACTTGAAGGCGTTGAAGTAGGCGTAGGCTATTATGGAGGCTCCTGGAACAGCATGTTCGTCAGGAATACTCGGACAGCCCGAGATATTATCGCTACTCAGATGGGCCTTCACCACGTGTCGCAACTCAGACATCGCTTTAACTTCGATGAATCAATTTAAGAGTACTCGCTTTTGGCCATTTCGCTAGAGGATTTTCAGTACCCAACCACATTCATCCCCAAAAATAATTTATTCAATCACGAAAACGTAAAAATGTGCCAAAAGGGCGGTACAGAAAAGAACAAACATGACACGAGCGAACAACACAAACAGGATGATGGGTATTCTTGGGACTTACATTATGTTATGGACAGCAGCACCAAAGTCGAGGAGATTTCACACCCCTAATGTGGCATAGTGCAACTTTGGAAGTCAGCAATCAATGAATGAGTGTTATGTACTGATTTTAATATAATAATTGGTAGTGACAAGGATGAATCAAATATAACGATTGAAATAATAATGCCCATGCCGGCCATGTCTTATCGGTTCAGGTTCTATTTATATTTGAAATCGATGCTAGATTCGCAATTTTCCGCTATGGGAATGGTCGTTACCTTTCGATATTGCTTACCATAGGTATTATCGCGCGGTAAGCGGTTTTTTCTGCAAATATTAAAGGAACTGACGTCTATGAATTCCGCTGACTTCGAAACTACAATGTACTGGATGTTTTAATTTGGAAAAGATGATTTATGATGAAAGATCTTGAAGTGAACGAGAGTTTGAGTGATGTTAATTCATAGGCATTTGTACTTCTTGACAATATTCCATGAATATTCATAGAAAATTCCTTTTGGAAATATAGTCTTAATAAAAGTGGTAATATGCTCAGCTTGATATACAGTGTGTCCCACTTACCATGCTCACCATGGGTATCTTTTTAACGGTGAGAGATACGAGGTCGGTTGAATGACACCAAATGTGGAGTTTGTCAGGGCCAACTATAATGTGGAAAAATATTTCGATAAAATCTATTCGTTTTTGTTTTATACGCAAAAAACAGATTTTGATCATTTTCATGTCTCCTCCGTAACTTCTTTATTTATGAAAATATTTAAATAGGAATTTCACATTCTCATGGCAGTTTTTCAAAGTGATTTCGAAAAAAATATGAAATTTTTACCAACTCTTCTAGAAATTGAGATATCAGCACCAACTTCAGTTTTTCAAATGTAGGTCATAGCTCAATATGACTTAGTTACAAATAACTTTTTTTTCTCTTTCAGATGATATGTCGCAGTATTATTTTTGTGTTGATAACAACGGAGTTATCGTCATTTATACAAGAACAAAAAATTATTTGGAAGCCGCCATCTTGAATTTATGAATTTTAACAAGAAAATCATGATCTCCGACCTCAAAAACATCCACTTACCAATTTTGAATGGAATCGGACCAAATCTTGTCCGCCATCTTGGAGCAGCCATTTTTTTTAATTTCAACAAAAATTCCATAACTCCGAATAACTTGAAATTTGGCAGGTGTTCATAATTTCGGTGACAATACATTATGGAAATTTTGTTGAAATTAAAAAAAATGGCTGCTCCAAGATGGCGGACAAGATTTGGTCCGATTCCATTCAAAATTGGTAAGTGGGTGTTTTTGAGGTCGGAGATCATGATTTTTTTGATAAAATTCATAAATTCAAGATGGCGGCTTCCAAATAATTTTTTGTTTTTGTGTAAATGACGATAACTTCGTTGTTATCAACACAAAACTATTATTGCGACATATCATCTGAAAGAGAAAAAAAAGTTATTTGTAACTAAGTCATAGTGAGCTATGACCTACATTTGAAAAACTGAAGTTGGTGCTGATATCTCAAATTCTAGAAAAGTTGGTATAAATTTCATATTTTTTTCGAAATCACTTTGAAAAACTGACATGAGAATGTGAAATTCCTATTTGAATATTTTCATAAATAAAGAAGTTACGGAGGAGACATGAAAATGATCAAAATCTGTTTTCTGCGTATAAAACAAAAACGAATAGATTTTATCAAAATATTTTTTCACATTATAGTTGGCCTTGACAAACTCCACATTTGGTGTCATTTAACCGACCTCATATCTCTCACCGTTTAAAAGATACCCATGGTGAGCATGGTAAGTGGGACACACTGTATAAAATATATTGTTGAACTGGCTTAAAATTCCTTAATTATTGTTAAACATTACGAAATAAATGATTTCTTGGATGTTTGTTCGATTGAGAACCATAAAGTTTAAATAAAAAAATCTCATATAGTTTACAAACAATGCGCGATGCGCTAAGTTTGTATGGTGTCGTGGTAACGTAGAAAAATGAAGAAAATTCTATCAATGCGCAAACCTTGTCATTTTTTGATGGTTGAAGAAGAAAAAATATTTGTGACTTACAAGGGCGTCCACGTTTTTTTCTGTAAGGGTTGCACTGAACCACGAAATATTGCTATTATGAAAATGGAGTATAAGCATAATTGAATAATGATAAAATAGAAAATTAATCAAAATATACTTATCGCTTACCCGAATTTCCAGTATTCCTTGTTTTCTGGAATGCCCCGAACAGCTTCGGCTTGAGCACGCATCCATTGTCGTCGGTGAGGGGCACCACGTTTTCTCCCGTTGAGTCCACCGCTTTACAGTCCTTCACCTGAAAGTGAGGTTACGAATATGTTACTAGATATTATATACAGAGAAGTGCACAAAAAACGGCAGGATTGTAACTTTTGAATTATTCTAGATAGGGTTTTGAAAATTGGTGGGTAGCAAATATACCAAATTCTCAGCATTGATTGATGAAACCATTTCTCTTTCATCACTTTCAGTTTCACCAGAAACGACCCCAACTTTTGATTTTTAAATGGGACACCCTGTATTGTATTCTATCATCGATTAGGGATTATCATTATGACGAATTCAACGATACCGGGTTTGTTAGGATTATTATGAGTGTGTGTAACACAATAGTCCCAGATTTACGTCAATTTCAAGTGAAGATACGAGTTTTTCAAGAAAGTGTGGTTTTTTAAATTTTTAATCAACAATAATTCAGAACCAATAAAGCATCTCAGGGATGAACTCCAGAGACTCATTCGTCTTCGTACGGCCATGTCAGAGACTCTTCAATAGCTATAATTCCCTTTCAATGAATATTCAGGCAATGGGAAAGAGGCCACTGAGAGAAGAAATCCGTGCAAACCTCTTTCAATCGACGAATCATGATTTACGTTTGATGTACAATCAATATTATGAGTTAAAGTTGAAGGGAATCGAATCTATATCGTTTTGAAATCAGCATATTTCATTCGATATTTCAAACAGCCAAATATGATGGTGGAGTCGTGACGTATTAGTCCCGAACTGTAGCTATCTCTCTCTGATACCTCGTCATTCTGCAGTGTTGCAGTGTGATTGGTCAGTTCAAGGACAATAGGCGTGTTGGGAATAAGACGTCGCACCAGTCACACCAATGAATTGACAAAATTTCAAATAGCGCAGGAATTGTGTGTTTTGAAATGGACATATTCTAATTTATTTTTTTCCCCCATTCTCTCGGCAATGCTTCATGACTACTTCAGGAATTTGATCATCTCGATGCCACGGCGCGGTTGATAATTCAAACTCGAGGAGGGCATACTCGTTATTTACTGAAGGTCTGCTGTTTGTTTATTGTATTCAAGGTTTTTTCCGGTGAGTACTACAAAAATGAGATAGAAATAAGTGATATTGAGTTCCTAAGTTGTTAATCAATACGTATATACATATGTAGGTTCTGATTATTGTAAATATAAGAATTGAAAAATGCCATACTTTCTTAAAACGCTCGTATCTTCTGTTAAAAATAAGATCATGATGTGAATCAAAAACTATTGTATCAAGAAGGAATAACACTTCAATCCAAAACATGATAATGCCAAGTTCAACCACTCAATTTCACCACAAGGCCTTAAGAACTTAACGGTGAGAGAGCAACTTTGGTTTTTCCTTGTATAATGATCAAGTCATTAGCTAATCACGGAAACTAATATCAAGGCTAACATTCCGGAATATGAATCTTCGATTTGATCGGAATTTCACAAAAAACGGACAAGTATTATAAGAGTTACAGCCCAATCAGCCAAAGTACGTCTTAAAGGCGTCTTTAAGACGTACATGTCGGGACATAAGTACGTCTTAAAGACGTACATATTACGCCCAAGAGACGTCTTTAAGACGTCTTTAAAACGTACATTTTCCAATTCCACTAATATGTACGTCTTTAAGACGTCTTTTTTAGGTGTTTTTGGTCCATGACCTCAAATTGATCTTTCAAATTACGGAAAAATCACATAGTTTCAGTTGATTTTCACCTGTGCACTGAAGTTAGCAACAAGTGCAGACAAGCAAAAAAAAGGGAAATAAACGACTTCATCAAACGGTAGACACAAGCGGTCACCCATTCAAGTACTAACCGCGCTCTTTGTTGCTTTTGACTTCGATGATTATACCATATTCACTTCTTCTGTTACTCTGTTAATTTGTTCTATATATCACATAACAAGCTTTTACTTAGTTTAACATGTCCTTGTGTCTGTTTGTAATCAAAACGTGCAAGTTAAATTTGACTCACTTCAAATCGTCCGATTGATTTGAAATTTGGCAAGTAAATATTATTCCGGTGACAATTCGTTGTGATATTATTATTGAATGGAAAAAACAGAATGGCGGATCCAATAATATGGCGGACGATGTGGCATATGGTTTTCTGATTATGGTCTGATCTGATTCAAAATTGGCATCTGAAGGATTTCGGGATCAGAGATATATAATTCCTTTTGTCGAAAATGAAAAATCCAAGATGTCGGCTTCAAAATGGCGGACGAGTTTTGTGATTATAGTCCGATTTTATTCAAAATTGATTAATATGGGACACTTTTGGGGTCGGAGAATATGATTTTTTTTTAAAGTTCGAGAATCTAACACGAAGGCTCCAAAATGTCGGACGAAAAAATTCAAAAACATCACTTTTGTTGAAAATAAGAAAAAACTGAACAATTGAAAATAAAAAACGTGAAGAGATGACATTTCGTTTTTCTTCAGAAAATAACTTACATTATTGTTCTATAAGTCGAATTGACGTACTGGAATGTACGTCTTTAAGACGTCTTTTATACGACATGGGAGGAACGACGTGGATACGACCTAAAATGTACGTCTTAAAGACGTAAATTCGTGTACGTCCTTAAGATGTACATGGATTTACGTCTTAAAGACGTACTTTATACGTCCCTGGACGTAAAGACGTAAGTAAGTCGTAAAATGTACGTCTTTAAGATGTCTGGTGCTGATTGGGAGGGTGACCAATTTTTTTGTAGGCCGGTTTTTTGTCGGTGAGTGTATAACAAGCAGATACCTACCTGGATGTCGAAGCCTGGATCGCCGCTGATGGACACCACCAGCGTCATCGGCTCCCCGATTTTGACCAATCCGGAGGCCGGCTGGCCTTGGGGCCCGCGGCCCAACAGGATGTCCAGTCTGGCCGTGGCGGTGTCCCCGCTGAAGGTGACGATCTCCTGCGTCAGCATGCCCACCATCAGGCCCACGCTGAGGTGGTCCTGAAAGAGGGAGGTTATAGGTTAGTCGGTTTAGTATCTATACTTGAGGTAGGGGGTTTTTCAGTCGATATAAATTCCTACTTTTATCTCCTAATTTCGACTATTATCAATAAAATTCGACTTCAAACTCTGGACTTTTATCTCAAAATTTGGACTTTTATCTCAAAATTTGGAATTTTATCTCAAAATTTGGACTTACATCTCAAAATTTGGACTTTCATTTCAAGATTCAGACTTTTATATCAAAATTTGGACTTTCATTTCAAAATATGGACTTTATCTCAAAATTCGGACTTTTATCTAAAAATTTGGACTTTCATCTCAAAATATCAATTTCTATTGAAAATTTTCGACAGTATTTGTCTCCAAATTCCAACTTTCATGACAAAATTTCGACCATTATCTCGAAATTTCGACCAAGATTTCGGAATTTCAACTTTATTCTCAAAATTTTAACTTTCACCTCGAAATTTCATTTTTCTCATGCGAAATCACGACTTTTATCTCAAAATTTGGACTTTCATCTCAAAATTTGGACTTACATCTCAAACTTTGGACTTTTATTTCAAGATTCAGACTTTTATATCAAAATTTTGGCTTTCATTCCAAAATATGGACTTTTATCTCAAAATTCGGACTTTTATCTAAAAATTTGGACTTTCATCTCGAAATATCAATTTCTATTGAGAATTTTCGACAGTATATTTGTCTCCAAATTCCAACTTTCATGACAAAATTTCGACCATTATTTCGAAATTTCGACTATGATTTCGGAATTTCGACTTTATTCTCAAAATTTTAACTTTCACCTCGGAATTTCAACTTTCTCATGCGAAATCACGACTTTTATCTCAAAATTTGGACTTTTATCTCAAAATTTGGACTTTTATCTCAAAATTTGGACTTTCATCTCAAAATTTGGACTTTTATCTCAAAATATCAATTTCTATTGAAAATTTTCGACTCTATTTATCTCAAATTTCAACTTTCATCTCGAAATTTACATTTTTTCGCGAAATTCGTACTTTTATGACGAAATCCCGATTATTATCTCGAAATTTCGACTATTAAGAAAATTCTACTTCCAACTCGGATTTTCGATTTTTATGTCGAATTTTTGACCTTGATCTCGAAAATAGGTATTACTTTCATTTCGAAATTTCTACTTTTATGCAAAATCACGACTTTTATCTCAAAATTTGGACTTTCATCTGAAAATTTGGACATATATCAATTTCTATTGAAATTTTTCGACATCGTTCATCTCCAAATTTCATCTTTCCTCTTGAAATTTACACTGTTATCTCGGAATTCAAACTTTTATGAAAAAATTTCGACTATTATCTCGAAATTTCGACTATGATTTCGAAATTTTGACTTTCTTCTCAAAATTTAAACTTTTAACTCGAAAGTTCAACTTTTATTTCGAAATGTTGATTATGAATTATCCCGAAATTTCGACTATTATCACGAAATTCGACCCAACTCGAAATTTCTACTCTCCTATCGAAATTTTATCTTGATCTCGAAAATAGGTATGATTTTATTACGAAATTTCAACTTCTATGCGGAATCACTTTTATCTCAAAATTTGAACTATTATATAAAAATATCATGTTTTATTGAAAATATTCGACATTATTCATTCAACTTCTATCTCGAAATTTACACTATTATCGCGAAAATATTTCACCGTTTATCTAGAAATTTCTTCTTTTATCTCTAAATTTATCCAACAATTCCACATATATTCATCTTAAATTTTCGACACTTTTCTCGAATTTTAAACTGTTATGTTATTCGACTATCAACTAGAAATTTTCAATTTCGAAATATCAATTTGTATCGAAAATTTTCGACATTCATATCAAAATTTCGACTTATCTCGAAATTTACACTTATTTCGAATTTCCAACTTTTATGTCGAAGTTACGGAATACTTATCCAATCTGACAAATGTTCATCCTCTTGCAATGTAACTTTTATGTCGAAGTATTGACTTTTATTCAAAATGTCTACTTTCACCTCGATATTTCAGATTTAAATTCGAAATTTTGACTACATTATTCCGAAATTTCGACAATTGAACGAGATTTCAACTTTTATCTAAAACAAATTTACGATCAACTCGAAATTACAACATTTATCAGAAAAAATTTCACATTCATCTCGAAATTCCAACGCTGTTTTCTCGAATTTCAAACTCATCTCGAAATTTCGACTTATCTCGAATTTTCGAAACACTGATCCTATCTTGACGAATATTTAACCTCCTGCCTTGTATACATTGTATACAGTGTGTCTCTATGATCAGAAGCACCACCCTTTATATTCTCATTGTATTTTCTTATTCGTTTGATCGATTTCAATTTGTTTTCGCTCAACACGTAGTACTATATCAATGCGATCTATACATTTCTGATTTCTCAATTTCCTCATATACCGCATCACGCAGCCAACTATACCAACAAGAATTCAGTCAGTGATATCAGGCAGATTTCATCAAAAACACTAAAAGGTATCATCAAGATCTGGTGAACTTCTGATACACGAATGTTTTCACGATGATATTGTTACGAGACCTTCTTTTGCGGACTAGACTCGCGCCGCTTTCCTCGGAAGGCTTGCGGTTCGCATCACTTTTGTGGATGTTTACGTGAAAGATGAAAAATGGTTGCCAAAGGATCTATCGCAATATTCGCAATATCATGAAAATGCTAGAACAATCTTGGGTCAGGTCGATATAAATTGCTGAAGGTAAACCGATATGGGATTAGAGTATATTAGTAAAAAAACCATAACGAATAAATGAATGAGTTGAACATGTTCTTCAACTCATATTAGAAAAGAGAAGTGATTATTGTGAATCTGTTGAGTGAAAAACCGAAGCTGAACATTACCGTAACAATACCATATACATGGCATTTATTATTATTAGGAATTATAGTGATGTATATACAATGAAGTAAAATAAATACATAACGCTCAAAGTCATATCCACAGAATGGTAAATTTTGGGAGAAAAACAACTATACTTTTCTGGCTGATGCCACGCAGAACATTGAATTACATCCTCCCGAAATGCCAGGCCACGCTAGACACCTACAGACTGGTTTCGAGCTCTTTGACTCTCATCAGTGCAAGGCAGTCTCCAGCCAGCAGTCCTAAGACCGTCGACTAAGCGTAGCCTAACCAAACAAAAATCAAGTCGGCATTATATATTCCCCCAGAAGCGTCATTCATATAGACAATATGAAAGCAACGCCATCTGAGGAGAAATTTAGGAAAGAAACTCTCCAAAACTGAAATTCCCATACGGGAGTGGCTGGTTGCCCGACTGGCGTGATTTCAACTACGTAGTTGACAATGTAGTAACTTACCTTGAGGTTACCTTCCCATAAACACCTGACAGAACGGACAGTATCCCAAATTTCTTGGATACCAAGCTCATTTTGGATGACTAGAACGTTTTCTAAGTAGCTTTTACCTTGACTATCGAAAGCATTGATGAATTCCGTACCTATAAATAATAAATTATATACAGGGTGTTTGAAAAAGACCTGGCAATATTCAAGGGGATGATTCCTCAGATCATTTAATGAAAATAAGTTCACATAAATGTAGATCCGGAAATGCATTGTTTCCAAGATACAGGGCGTTAAAGTTTTTTTTAATAATTCATGTAACGGATCTTCAACAAATTTGATAGATAGATATAGATAGACATAGACAGATAGGTACAAAATGACATTCGAATAACCCTTGAATTCATTGTTGCAATTGGTCACTTTCAATAAAATAGTTTCTATTTTTTATCAGTAAACGAAGCAAGAAATAAGAAAAATCAAAGAGACAAAAATGTTGTAGTTTTAGTCGTTCTATTTCAGGGAATCGTCCAAATTGAATCAACGTTGGTGGCGTACATTTTTATCAATAAATTTTATAATATTTCCTCTCCCATAACGTCAATGTTAATTTTAATATTGTTATGGGCAAATCCACCTCTCATCACTAGAAACAACGCTGCCAAATTTCAAATAAATCGGTGAGAAGACATTTGAATTAATCTTAGAGAACATCATTAAAAAAAACGTCAACAACCTGTATCTTGGAAACAATGCATTTCCGGACCTACATTTATGGGAATGATCTGAGGAATCACACCCTTGAATATTGCCGCTTATATGGCTTATAGCTTATACAGAGCAAAGAGGATGCAAAAATTGCACATAAAGCTTTTTTTAACATAAATGTTATATCTTACCACACATGTTGAGATTCACAGTGAACGTGTATTTCGTTTGCCCTGAATTCTCTTTCACGTATCGACACTCAGGCATGCTGTAGTATCCCTTGGAGTAGATCAATCCATTGAACACCCTGTTGAATTCGATGTTGATGGTCATCATGTCCTTGGCACAAGCGACATCTATGGCGTGAATGTGCGGCGGATGTTTCAAGTCTTCATCCGTTGGCACACCTGCAAAATAAACGGTTTTTTCTGTGACGGGAAAGTTAGGCATGTCATCTCTGTTGGCAGGTTATAAAATGTCACTTTTCATAAATTGCTTTGCAGAAATCATGTGTTCTGATCACAGAGAACTCATTGAAGTAAAATAAAAGATACTCTCAATTACGGTACCTATTCAGTGAATTTTACAGAATTTGGAAACCAGTATAATTATCTCGACGCATTTATGTTCATACCTTCAGATCCACCTTCGCTGGGACGCTCGGTAGGCTCCTCAGGCTTCCCACTCGTCCCTACCTCTGGTTGTTGAGTACTAATACCAGGCCCACTCGTCGACAACTCTCCCGATGAACCGGGGTACCCAGTGGGCGGTCTCGTAGGGAATCCAGGCGTGACCGTTTGGGGTGGGGCAGTCGGGTAGCCGGTCGATAAACCAGGAGGCGGGGCAGTCGGGTAGCCGGTCGATAAACCAGGAGGCGGAGCCGTAGAAAAACCAGGCGTGACACCTGAAGGCGGCGCTGTTGGGTAGCCAGGCGTGACTTCTGGGGGCGTGGCAGTAGAATAGCCAGGGGTGTAACTTGGCGGCGGAGCAGTAGGGAATCCTGGGTACTCAGGACTTGGCGTGGGGTAGCCAGGCTGCTCAGGGGTTACACCTAGAAGAGAATTATTGCAAAGGTTCCTAGCGAGATTTATAGAGTGATTAGTACCTGGTGGAGGTTGTGTAGGGAATCCAGGCTGCTCCGACGTTACCGGTGGGCCTTCTGGCCTTCCTGTAGGATAGCCCGTTGTGACTTGTGGGGGCAAGTAAGGTCCCTCGGTGGGTCCCAGAGGCCTTTCTGTTTCAACAGGGGGCTGAGTTGGATAGCCTGTGAATTCTTGACGTTCGGTGGAGACAGGTGGAAATGGAGGGTAAACAGGTCTATCGGTTGGATATCCCGAGGAGGGTTGAGTTGGGAAAGAAGATGGGTACCCGGTGGCAGACGGAGGTTGAGTAGGATAGGAAGTAGTGCTGGATACTGAAAAACAGGTTTTAACCTCAAAACAAGAATCTTTATTATCGTTTCAACTTACCAACGGGTCCAGAAGTGGGATAGGCCTCAGGGGCGGGGCTACTAGGCCCTTCGGCCGGCCCAGTGGGCGACGGGTAACCCTCCCCTGTGATTCCCCCTGTGATGGGGTTCGTGTAGATGGGGAATGGTGGTTGGGGAGTGATACCGGCGGGAGGGTATCCACCATCGACGAAGTTACCTTCTTCGTCTGTCCCGCCTCCCGAAGGCCTGGGCTCGAATGGGCGTGGTTTTTGGGTGTAGGAGGGTGGAAGGTATTCCCTGAGGTTGTTTTGGCGAGCTGAAATGGAATGAAGATGGTGCATGGTTCGATATTTGGTGGGATTATGGAGCGAGTAGTAAACATACAAAGCATTTTGAGAAAGCTACCGACACCGTGGTTATTTGTTATGTGAGCGAATGTAAACGTGTTGAGTGTTGGGTGGGATCTATACATACAGCCAACTCACCACTATATACATCTTCAATTATTACTATATTTCAGTGTGCCCAAGATAAGGATGAACAGCGCATATGGGGATATCAGTAACCATGGGCGCCCGCAGGAATTTTTCTCAAGGGGGGCCAGGATTGGATTATCTGGAGGTGTAGATAATATTGTAAAATGCACCGCAGGCGACTTATTTTGTTGGTTCAAGGTCAAATGATGCATTCAAATTGGATATCAGACATCTACCAGGGTGAGACCAAGGGCTTATTATTATGACCCATTTCATGTAACAGATGAATGAATGAGGAATGAGTCTTCAAGTGTCCCTAGAAGGATTTCACAATAACCTTGATTTATGTCATTATAAACTGATGAGTTTGGGCACTGAACAGCTCTGAAGTTACAATTTTCGAATCATTTCTGGTCTATATAACTTTCAAACGGCCCATGAGAATTCACTCAAATAATATATGATACGTTGGTACTTTATTTGGCAAAAATCCATATATTATCATGATTGTAGTGTACAGATGTTGTGTAGCATCCATCCTAGATCATATATGATCTAAGGTATTCATTTATATTTCTATTGGTAGGCCTGTTGTAAGTTTAGACAGAACATGACAATCGACTTGCGGTCAGTTATGTAAGATTTGTAAGAAACAAAGAAAAGAGACGTTATCTTCTTAACACAATGATCATGATGAATATCATTATATATACATGCAGTCACGAAACTCATTGATTTTTTCAGTAGATGAATATCTGAAACAATTATAGAAACTCTTGAAAAACTCGATTATCTACACCCATGAATGCCACAGAAACGTTCAATACAATTGACAGATATTTCATTATATTTTTTCAGAATGTTCACTTATATTCGCAAATACAATGCAAAAAACTGAAATGTACCTACTGGCAGCTATTTTTGTAGTTTTGTTGTTTTAATCTGAGGAACTCAATAAATACGAAGTATTCATATGTTGAAAAGGGTAGTAAGTGCAGGATTCTTAGGGGGGGAAGGGAGAAACACGCCCTTCACTGGCCCCTCTCTGCGGGCACCAATGTCAGTAACCGTTTCTTTGAACCGAAACGTTGTACCCTTGATTAACCAAATCATCAAATTTGGTAGGTGTGTGTAGGTAATATTTGGAGATTAATGTATTTGACTGTGCTAGTGCATGGGTGGTTTTCTGTTTTCTAATATATACATGTAGATAAAGCGTGCTTGTATAAAAATGTGCACAGAATTCAAATAAATTTACCCCTTTTAAGGAACGGTCTGGGTCTAATCCCATTCGATGAAGGGTAGTATTCGCTGAAACTTCCTTCCAAGACTGAAATGAAACATCGGTAACAGAAGAACATCGTTTTTCTGATTTAGAGTATATATAGTGCTGAATATACAGGGTGGTCCATAAGAAATTGTACTTGGACCTTTTGACTTTTGACCTCAAAACATAACGATCGATTTATGCTAAAATATTGCTAATAGGAGAGAAACAGGTGGAAGTCAAAGTTAATATTTTCGGAATTCTTTTTTGCCATAACTTCGACGACTCTGAGTAAGGATATGTACATTGTACATACATAAAAAAATCTAAACTGGAGGTTTTTTTGGTATTAGAAATTATGATTTGAGTTCTACTTCAATGTAGTTTCTGCCACAAAAGCCACTTTTGTAGCATTCAAGCACACTTCACTTGTTCGTTGTTCAGCTAGATTAGCGCCATTTTCATTTAAAAAATGTTGAAGACACATCCTTTCAGCAAAAATAAGTTATACTTGTCTAGTTATTGATCTCAAAACTTATTATCCCATTTTAGGAGTAGGCATACGCTTTTACAGCTGGACGTCAAGGGTGATTCTGGAAGCTGAACATCCTTTTTTTATTCCTTAAGTTTATTTCTGTGATATTTTTTATTTGTTATATATTTTTTCTTGAAGTTGTCCAAATCATTCCTATTGATATCCGCCTACTACCTCAGTATTTCTAATAAGCTTTGAAAACATTATTGGCGTGGACGCCTACTGGATGTGCAAAAAAACAACGGTCTTGCCCCGTGGCACACCCCTGGTTTATCAACTGTAATAGGCCCAAAAATGGATAAAACCTCGGATAAAACACCAATCTCGGAAATGAATCGTTCTTGGACATATATTATTTATTTTGATTTATTGACCCAAAAAATATGACCTCGCAGTTTTGTACAACATCACTGGAACACCCTGTAGATGAAAGTGCATTATACGTATAGGAATCTGTACGGTTACCTTCTGAATTCAGTGAATTCTTGGATTTGAAAGGCCTTGGTCTCTTTGTACTAGGAGTGATGAGGTTACGTCTATCAACTGAAATTAATGAAGTTTCCCAAATAGGTACAGCTAGAATGCGTCACATGAAGTAAAACTTAAACGACTAACTTTTACCGTAGATAAAATTCAATACATGGTAACTTTTGAAACAAAAATTTGTTCCTATAGATACTAGATAGGCTGGATAGGCAACACTTCTCAAATATCCGTGGCAGTCAACTGTTGAGTATAGTGTTCCTTGAAGGGGTATAATCGATGAATCAAAACCTTTTTTTTTACCACAAAACAGCTTCTTTTTTCAATCAGTCTCGAAAACTTGTTTCACCATTGAGCCACATAGTGTATTTTGTTTGATATTTTGAGAAAATAACTTAAAAACCTTATAATTAATAAGGTAATAACCTACCTCTTTGTTCTTTTACTCTATAACGAAGTTGTAAAGTGTATACCTATACTTATGTGCAACGTGTGCAACTATTTTCCACATGAATTTTACTTTCATATGTGCATTGAAGATGTTAAGAATTTATTGCGTCAATTTCTGGAAAACAATATGCAATATTCAATTTTCACCAAGTATCTATACATTGAATTGCAAAAACATTCACTGACTATGTGGCTCATCCATTATTGAACATATTTATAGCTGATGCTGGTGAAAATTAACGATCTATTACCTACTATCCTCAACTTATGTACTGTCATCCACTGTTTCATGCGGTTTTGTATTATCATGTCCACGTTTCTATAATCAATAACAATAATAACATTGACAATAATACTATGTCCGTGATAAAAAATCTATACCTTTGGCCTGAAGCATGATAATTTTCATAAATCTAAAGTGAGGTATTTACCAGTAAGAGTATTAAATTAATTATAAATCATTAATAGGATAATAATTATAAAAGTGTTTTTTACTTATTTGAGAAGTTTCAAATTATCTGAAGTGTTTGCCTAATTGGGCGAACACTTGTTCGAAACGAGTATTAGCACAAGATTCATAGAACATATTGCTCACTTGATAAGTATTATTTTCAATGTGAATAAATATAAGGAAATTGAAAGGAGGACCATATGCATTGGTTCAAAAGACGCTTTGTCGCTGACTTGTCAACAGAACGAAATCAAAATGTTATATTTTGCTTTATGCATAAAATATATCTAGGTAAATAGTCTGTTTTGATTATGAGTAGGTATAGTCTTATAGTCATCGATATTTTCTCACACTCAGTATTAGTAATATTAATCAACAATATTTACATGCATCATCTTTTCTGTTTGAAGCGAATAAGCTGTAAGGCGTGAACGGCGTCTCAAATTCCTCCGAAAACGACCTACTTCTCCTGCTCTTCTGCTGATCGTTGTAGACGTCTTGCAGCCATTTGATTATGTTCTGGAGCATCTCTTCCCTGCTCAGTTGCCTGGTGATCCGGGTATCTGCGAAAAAAGCATTATAGCAATCATATATTTTGGTATCTTTGCAAAGTCACTTGAGACAAATTCAGCAAAAAAACAACGCCGACGGCACTCGATCAGGCTGTCTCAGTGACTTTGCAAAGACTATACAGTCGTGTGTCCATTTAGTGCGTAATTCTTCGATATCTCCAAAGCCATAACCTATAGAAAAAAACTTTGAAGGAGAAACTTCTTCAGTTACTCAAGTTGCTTATTTCAAAAATATTCTCAACATTACTGGGTGTTTTATAAAAGCGGGATGACTCGGAGACGAGTTTTTTCAAATGGAACACCCCGTATTGTTTATTCGGAATTTATTCCGCTGAGGTTTACCTTCACATCGCTCTGAAAAAAATTGGAATCGGTTTCGGCGTTGCCAAGTTATAATTGATAAACCTATTTTTACCACTAATGAAGAGTCATGTTGAATTGGGCATGGTATATTCATTTATTCAAATTATGAAAATATTTTTGGCATACGGTAGTAGCAAGGTCTCACGTATACAAATTCAGTAATTTTGCGACATGTTCTTTAACAGGGTGCTCTATTTAGAATTTTGCAAGATTCAGATGGCATTCATTAGAATTTTTCAAATGGAACACCCTGTATTTTTTTTCACAAATTCATTCCGACATCTTTCACCTTTTCATCGCTGAAAAAAAATCATAATCGGCTGCGGCGTTGTCAAGTTATGGATAATTTCCTTATTTTTACTACTATTTCGGAGTATAATTTTTACGACATAGTTCTTTCATTCAAATAATCAAATTTCTCAATTGACCATTCATATATTTTTTTACAATAGGAACATTTGCACGCTCTCCAAGTTTGAATTTAAAACAGAGTGGATTTGACCAATTGATCCAAAATGCTACTTTCACAGATTTTTTGCAGACAACGAATCACTTTTTCGAAGTACACTTCCATTATTCGTGTAATGACCTGTCAAACATCGTCACAATCAAATATATCTTGAATTTATTTAAAATTTTGCTGAATTCCCTCCCGAAACCCGCGTAGTAAAGAAATATTGTGTAGAGTTTGCCTCCTTCAAGTTTGATGGAGATTTGGTTTGTGGGGATAACGACAATAAAAGTGGTCCAAATTTCAAAAAATTGTCCTTATTCTCGCAATTCAAATATCTATTGTTTGTATTGTAGAAGTTGTTTTAAAGGCAGGCGTTTTGCTTTTGGCATATGTTTGTTATGTACCACATAGGTACATAAATATTCTTCTAATCATAAGTAACAAGATTACGGAATATTTCAAATTCTGACAATGCTTATATAGCAAAGATACCTGAATGATCTATGTAGAACCTCGAATGTCATGTGGCAAGCAATATTCCCACAATCAAATCAAATAAAGGAACCATGTCTCATAAGTTGCCCTGAGATAGTGATGAACAGATATAAGGAAATTACTCATAACTTGAAAACCCCGCAACCGATTTCAATTTTTTTCTCAGCGATGAAAAGGCGAATGATGTCGAAATAAATCTGTGATGAGGAATACAGGGTGTTCCATTTGAAAAATTCTAGTGAACGTCGTCTGAATCTTACAATATTCAGAGTGTAAATTTAAGCACCCTGTGAAGGATAATCTGGCAAAATTACTGGATTGGTGTACGTGAGACCTTGCTACTACTGTATGCCAAAAATCTTCTCAAAATTTTAATAAATGAATATACCATATCCAATTCAACATGACCCTTCAATAGTAGTAAAAATGAGATTATCAATTATAACTTGGCAACGCCTCAACCGAATCCAATTTTTTCACAGCGATGTAGAGCTAAACCGTAGCGGAATGAATTTTGAATAAAAAATACTGGGTGTTCTATTTGAAAAAACTCTCCGTCTCCGAGTCCTCCCGCTTTATAAAACACCCAGTATTGTTGAAAATATTTTTGAAATGGAACCTTCAATAACGGAAGAAATTTGTTTCCAAAATTGTTTCTCTAGTGATAATGGATTTCGAGATATCGAAGAATTACGCACTAAATGGACACACTGTATACTAAAAATAAATTTTGGTTATTACTGTTTCATATAGGGTGGCATGTGAGTGAGCACTTACTTCTTTTTTGTTCTCGTTTTATTGAAACTTTTTGTTCTCCTAATATGTCTCCTGCTAGCAGGCATGTCGCCAGGAGTGTGACGAAAGTGTGAGGAATTTTCATTCTGTGGAATAAAAAATAACACCTTGTACAAGCTTCCATGAGTTTCTTACAGTAATATTCAAATGATATTCCTTAAAAGGATGGCCCTGATTGACTGAATTAATCACCCTGTACATATTCATAAACTTATAGGAAGTATACATAGTTGCGCAATATTTTCGAAAAAACTGATTTGTTTTGTTGGTATATTATCCACCACTAAAACAAAATGAAGAATACTCAATTTGGTGGGTAGCATGTTTCGAATGATTCAGAAGTTATAAAAGTTGAATTTGTTACAACACTGGACGTTTCTTGTGCACTATACAGGATGTTTCAGATTGTAATCAGGAAAATTTAATACGCGATGGAATTCGTAAAATTAAAAAGGAGAGTCTGAAAAATTAATGATGTGAACCTGTATGTTTGCCAGCTTGTGTGTTGAAGTTTAAAAAAACAGTTTATTATTCAGAACTCGAAAACTACTAAGCTGATTTTATTCGTTAACATTTTAGCATTATGTTTCTTTGTTATATGGAAATGTATCTTTTGGTGTAACAAACGAGTAGAGTTGATTGATATTCATGGTAAAAATCATTGTGCTCTATTGTTTGTTTCTATGTTCCATATTTTCATTCGATTTAACAATAGGACTACAACTTTCTTGTTCCATGAGTTATTCTCCAATCTTGTTTTCAATAAAGAAAATTAAGACTTATTGTTATGAATCCAAGTTTCTAATGTAGGTACCTAAGTTCGTAAGTTGATTCAAGACATCCATTGGGTACATTTATAATAAGTAGAATTTGGAGACTGAGAATTTGTCTTATATGTATAGGGTGAAGATGGAAAACAGCAAATACTATTTCTAACGTCAAAAATGAAAAAAAATTTTATGAACTTTCAAATATTACCGATTAAAATCTATCGACACATTTTCGGTTGATACATCAGGTAAGATTGCACACCAAGAATGGGAAATTTCATAGCTTATATTAAATAGTTATTTATTATACAAGAAATCAGACAATTATGGAAGTGTAATTTGAAGTATTTAACAGGAATCACACCTACGTTGTAGGCATCAAGTAATTCATGAAAAGTGACATTTTATAAGCTGTCAGCAGAGATGAAATCTCAAACGTTTTCCCGTCACAAAAAAATAATAAAATATGTCTTGGGGTTTTATAGGCAATACGCTGTTTTATACATAATTCTGAATCGAAAATTTTATAGGAATTTTGAGATGGCTTTCACCGCATTTTTCAAATTTGAGGAAATCCATCGTTTTTATTATTCCCAAGCTGTCTTCTACACAGATCATTAATGATGACTATATGATTATATAAACTATTTTTTTTTCATTAGAATACATAATTTGAGGTATATATTATGTTCTTCATCTATTCGTAATATGCAATACTTATATCCCATTCTTATCCCATTTTTTATACCTCTTATGTCAAGAGTACAATAAAAAATCTTGCATAGACCGCGTGTTGCAACCGCTAGCCCATTCACCGTCTGTGAATATTTTGGAAAGGATATGTTGCAACTGAAGATGCTGTTGAAAATGTTCACATTACAAAATTCCATTCTGATATATTAGTCTTGCCGAATAATTAATCCGAGGTATTCGCAATTAAAGATTAAGATCAATCTCGATTCGAAGGTGTGTGAAGATGCAGAACCATAACATAAGTACCCACTGGATTCGTAAATTAATTTGTTTTTAATAGTCGTTTTATATAGTTGTTATTATTTAATGCGGTAGGTAGTTTTAGTTTCGTTATAATGTTCTGTTTCGACATACCGATATAACAATGAATTCCTACTAAGCGCAAGTTTCATGTTTTGCAGAATCCACATTATTATATATGATTCCATGTGAACTTCAGGAAATAAAAGGGTATTTAACTGGTGCGCTTGCTCCCTATTGAAGGTCGTTTGCAAGTTTCTCGATGGCGCCTACTCTGATAAACCTTTGATAAACATACTTGACGTGGGTAAATCTCGCTAAGCTCATCCTGGTTACAATCCATATTTACAGGAAAATATATTACCGACCGATAAATATTTGGACACGTATATGATTTGGATCAGAGCAGTGAACTGATTTCTGATCTAAGGATCGAAACGTCAATATGTCAGAACAATGATGGAAATAGATTCATCCCTCACAGAACCAAAGTTTTGAACGATTTTCCGATTATGGCGCCTCTATCGTCGAATACCTGAACCCCACGTCCAAAACTCGCTTGCAATTGTTCCATATCGAGAGTTAGTCTGACGAAACAATTGAAGAGTGAGCCCACCAGTTAAATTTCCGGGATTGGCGCAGTGGAAGAGCGTCCGTCAAGGTCGTGGGTTCGATTCCCAGCACGAGCAAGGATCTTTTTTCAATATTTTATTTACGAATTAAATATTGTTAAGTTTATTCGGAGCATCGGCTGTGGATAGTCCTGCACGATTTGCTGTTGCGTTTCAATTAACAGTGCTGCTCCTAAAGTGACGCATGGAGTTAGTAAGAAAGCCTACACAGAACACGCAGAAAGAGATGACGATGTGGTTGTGAGCATCAGAGAAGAAGTAGGACAGTGTATGTAGTTGGGTGTGGAAAACTACCAGCTGAGCGTGAGAGCGGGCCAGCTGCTTAGTGGACCTCGGTCTCGGGGGTTAACGAGGATAGCTAGCAGGCCTGCCACTGCGCATATGGTAGTGAGAACATTACTAGCCTACCCTACAAAACATAGCCGAAAAACTCTGAAAGAGAGCTGATGGGCGGTGCCTGAAAAGGATGTTAGCCAGCTCTCTTGAGTGAACCACATCAGTCATTGAAAACACTAATGGGGTTTGCAAAAATGTCCCATTAGGGACTAGTTACTGACGTGCAAACGTCCCCCACCATAGTACCAGTACGCCACTGCAACGAGCTACTAATGAATACTATCGTTATGTTATGAAGGACGAATATGATTGATTGGTATCATGTCAATTATTATTCGGGAATCAGGTTGAAAAATTGAGCGAATTATAGGCACGACTGGACTCGGAGCAAATTGAGCAAAATGCGATAGGTAAGTAGCCGAGTAATCTATTAATTTTGAGATGCTCATTTTAGATTCAATTATCTTATTACATTTACATTTCACCTCGAATATGTTTCGTCCTCAATTCGGTTTCAACACGACTTTTAAGACAATTTTCGATTACTCAAGCTCTGATGACATGTGAAAATGATAATTTGGTCAAAAAAAACTCGTTAGGGAGCTATAGAAATAGGTATTTTTTTACGATCATGCCAAAGTTACTATAGCACTAGCTGTTAAACCTACCAATATTTACTCCTTTTCGAGTGTGTTTTTACTATACCAAGATAGGTTTCGTCTTTTTATGAACGCACTAGTCATAGCCACCTCTGCAGTAATTAACCTGAATTCACTGTTCTGAATTTCTGATGCGGGATTCTCAGAAAAATCACTAGAATCTAGGGGGTCTATTCAGTAACTTATCGTTAGAATACGATATCGTTACCTTAACGATACATTGACCAACGATATTTAGAACGATAAACTCTAGAAGCTTTCTCAGTATCGATGTCGTCAGAGAAGAATCTGGGGACATGGTAATAAATGGATTTGGTGAATGTTGGTAACAGTATATGTTGATCTTCTGTGGCTAAAAACGCGCAAAACTTGTTAGAAGTTGAAAAGAAGATAATGGTATTGTTATGGAAGATAATTATTTTTATTCGTTCGTTTCTAAATACAACTTGTATGTTGCTGAAAGAGAAAAGTAGTGACAGTGTTAGCTAATTAATGAATGAATGATTGCAAATGTCAATAAAATATATGAAGAAATTAAGGAAAAGAACGATATTTATTTGATATGAGTGAAAAGAAGATAAATAGAGTTAATATTGGTCCTTCGAGCCGGATTTGATACTTTTATTTTTACTGGCAGGATCTTCAGCAACACATTGTAAACATAATTTGTTGTTAGATTGACGTTAATACGTTGATTTGAGATTTTGAGGATAATACTAAAACTTATACAGTGTGGTCAAACATATCTTGTCATTTCTATGTTCTAGAAAGCCTTAAAAGTCATATTTTGCAAATCAAACGCCAATTCGCAGTTGCATGGATGAAAAATCATAATTTTTTTCTAGAGTTACGCATTTCTAGAAAGCTGTTCCCACAAATCCGTATAAACAATGATTATTAAAAAATCCTGTTCTTACGTTATCTAAAGTTCCATGAAAGGCGAATAATTCACGCACCATCGCAAATTCTACAGGGTGGAAGGAGTTTTTTTCTAATGTAAACTATATACTAGACCTTAAAAAGCGGTTGAAACGAAACATAGAAATCAGGGAGAGAGTTTGAAATAAAAAATATCACCCTGTATAGCAATTGGATAAGAATTTTCAAAAGAATTTTGAGATAGGAGTCCGATATGGACGACGGACATCAAGAAAGCCGTTTTTGATGAATGTTACACTAGAAATATTTCATTGTTCTCCATCCATCCAATTCTCATTTGTAAAGAAATTACATACACGGGGGACGTCGAAAAATAGAGAATTTGAGAATAGCGTCTTCTTTAGGGTGCAAAAATATAGGTCGGAGAACATTTACATCGAATACATCAATTTCGAAAAAAATTTATGGCGAATAATTTTAGCGCGGTGACATTTAGAGCGAAATGAAAAATATTCCACTGAAAATATGTCTTTGGCTATCGCCATTGACTATAGATTTTCGCTCCTAAACAAGTTTCAATTTCTAGAAGCGCAGTATTTTTCTGCGAGAATAAAATAGAGGTATACAGTGTGTCCTACTTACCATGCTCACCATGGGTATCTTTTTAACGGTGAGAGATATGAGGTCGGTTAAATGACACCAAATGTGGAGTTTGTCAAGGCCAACTATAATGTGAAAAAATATTTTGATAAAATCTATTCGTTTTTTTTTATACGCAAAAAAACAGATTTTGATCATTTTCATGTCTCCTTCGTAA